TCTGGGCATATTTCAACAAAGAAAAATAAAGGGAAAATTATATATCTGTCTCATATTTCTGTATGACCAATCACATCACCAGTGACATGAAACTTGCTTACTTTATTATAATATCCTTCTAAAAAGGAAAATAGTTTGGGTGAGAAGTAGAAATGAGGGGGGGAAAATCACTTTTCTCTGTCTCTCAGATATTTACATGACTCCTCTTGTACCCTGCTAGTATATTGCTAACAACCTCAGAAGTATTAATGATTCAGTGTCTATTACATGCCAGGGAAGGATAGATTGTTTTTACAAGAAAGCTGAGTCACAAAATATGTGACTTGCCCAAAGTAACACAGCAAGTCATCTGTTGAGTTCAGAAACAAATCCAACCCCTGCCTTAACTCCAGTGCTTCAGGCATCCTTACTACATCCTTTCTTCCTCTTTTTTTCTTATGTAGGACTTTTTCCTTGTGAACTAGTTGAGGTCAAACCCATGGGGAACACAAGTGCCGCAGCATCCATATAGATGAACTTTTGTCGGGTGTATACTCCAGGTCCTAGCTTATCCTTCCCTTGCACCGACGAAGCTCTCTGGTTCCTCTGGAGGAATCTTTTTTTTGCTTGCAGAGGAGTCTGCGAGCTCTGTCCCTTGGTGGTAATGCCAACCCTAGTTAGAAATGCCTCATGGATTCCTGTTTTCTGGCTTAGAGATTGTGAATCTTTTATATTCATCCATGCACCAGAGTTCTTAATTATTTTCTTTCTTAATGCATGAGACAGTGCAAGGAACACAAGGGACATTGCTTGGCGTTGCTGGGGAGGGGTGAAGGGCTAGACTGTAGCAAGGAAAGTGCATGTGTCTACACGAGGTACCTCCCTTGGCTGCATCTCAGCACTGACTTCTCTGACCCTCTGTGGGCAGCGCCCAGGTGGGACTGCAGAGTGTAAGAGATGCTAAGACGTGCATGAGACCAACCCTTGTCTGTGGGGGCTATTATCACAATCTGGAGAGATACAGACCTGTCAAAGACAACTGGAGTTTCACATCCAAATGGTGACTGCTGCCGTCGTTTCCATTGTGTACAGTTGTGTACCCACATTACGGTGGTTTGCCAGTTTTGGGGTGGAAGACTTTGGAAAGTCAGTAGCAGTCTTTGCCCTACTGACTAATATTTTCTCTCCTGTTGAACACACAGGGTAAAAAGGGAGAGCCTGGATTCCCAGGAATCAATGGTCTGATCGGCCCTCAGGTAAGTGATGATTTCTTCATTTTCATATAATATGTGGAAAAACATATTTTGCGGCAACAGGTGACTTGGAACCACAATGCAGCATGCCGTGACCTTGTTCTCTTCTCATCTGCACCATCTTTGAAGTTGGTGTTTCTCCTTTAAGAGCCAAACTAATTTATCCTGTTGTGATTAAGAGAAGTCTGCCTGTCTGGCAGCAATTACTTTTACCTTCCACAGTTTTTCAGCATCTTTGAACAGGGACATAAGGAGGTGTTTCGCATGTGATTTCCCCAGTGCTTGTGCACAGAGCAGTATCATTCCAGAGGGAAAGCAATGATATGTGTTTTGTAATATTTAGGACAGTGTCTCAGCTAATCGTTGGCTGTGTGAATTGGCAATTGCAGATATACCTCCTGTGCTGCAGTCTTGAGGGAAGAAGCAGTTTAAAAGGTATTTGCTATTCAGAAAGCACACTTCTTTGAGCACAAGACTTTCTTGTGACTTTGATACTCACATTTCTACTTGTTATAGAGGGATAGGTGTTGGCTTATTGAAGAAGGTAGAGACAGGGGCTTAAAACTAGATGTTTATTCTCCCCGTGAGGAAGGATGTCTTAAGTTAATGATGCCTTAGCTCCTTTTTTTTAAAGCTTTTGGCAAGGTAGTGCTCCAAATTGCACCATCTGTAACATCATAAGGGCAAAATAGTGCTATGTTAAGAATTGTCAGAAAGGATTTGGCTCCACCTGGGATCAACCCATCCTGCCCCGTATTATAATAACACTGACACTTGCCTCTGGCTTGGTTTCTTGCTAACTTTGTAGCCAAAGTCAGCTGACCTGAGTCACTTTGTAGGGTCACCCCTGCAATAAGAAAAATATCTGTAGGAATATCCTCAAGCAGAAAAGATGCAGCTTCGCTTTAAGCTGACCACTCAGGATAATACTGAACATTTCATTCATTCCCTTTTCAATAATAAATTAATGAACTGGGTCTTCGGCTTTGGGATTTTGTTTCAATAATCGGTTAAGTTTTGGGCAGGAATGGAAAGCCTCCATTACTACAGCTGTTGGTGATATACTGCAACAAACAGCACACTGCTAGACAGCAGATGCTGATTTTTCATTTATTTCCTCGGGCGAGCTATGCCCTTGTAACCAGGAAACATGATCTAGAAGTGGTTTCTGTGGCAGACATTTTGTAATGAGCTGTTCACATGTCTGCAGAGGATGTCAGAGAGGCAATCCAAGGGCTTGCCACCCTGTGCAGGTGAGGGCCCTTGTGTCCAGCTGGGACCCTTGCCCTGCGAAACACCACTTGATACTGGTTTACATATTTTTAAGACTTTTTCCTTTGGTACAGTATCTGGTTTGCACATATTTATCAGCGGCCTTCAAGAGGAATGAAGACAGTATTTCTAATGGATTTAAAAGATTTTGGTTTGGTTTTTTTTTTCCATTGGATAACATTAAAACGTCCCCGCAAGTCTTCTGAACCACTGGGGGAAGATTTTTCTCCATGCATTATTTCTAAGATATCTGACACTGTCCATCCAAACCATGTCACACTTGTTCAGCTTAAGTTCCCTGCAACTTTTAAAAAAAATATATATATGCATGTGTTAGCGATTTTATAAATGTATCTGAGAAAATTGCTGACATAGCATTAAGTAATTTTTCTTTCTGCACAGGCTAAATAAGGTTAGCAAATTTTATGTTAATTAAAACCACATACAATGCTAGCCCCGTCGAGGGATACTTAAATTGACTGTTCCTCCAAGCTAACTGTAAGAATGGAAAAAAATATTGTTCCTATTCCTGCAGTGGCACTCTGTTCTGGACAGTAATAGCTGCACATTTCCATATTTCTGTTTGGAGAAAGTGCTTACATTCAGTTTGTGACAAAGCTACTTTTCAGCTTAACAGCACAGTGACATTAGATTTTTTTAAAGCACTTTATCAGCTTTTTTTTTTTCTTAATCAGACAATGCCCCAGAAATACCCAAGACGAAAAGTGGTTTCCTTATACGGTAGTTACATAGTTATTCTTCAAAGTCATGTATGGAAGTCTGTCACCTGTTCCTGTGCTATCTCCATCGCGTTGAGGGCCAACTAATTTGAGCTGGCCATACATAAAATAGATTCGGACACTAAAATAACCTCCCTTTACTATGCTATTTTAAATTTAAATATACTTTTGTTTTCTAAACTGATTCCCCCCATTGATAGCTGTATGGGTGAAAGGAAGGAGAGGATATAGGAGCTGTAGAAGGCACATTGTTGCTGAAAGGCATAGAAAAGACCATCTGAAGTTATTGTTGGGCTTTGTCAAGAAAAATAGTTGCTGTCAAGCTCAGTCCAACTGAGAAGCCACAGAAGGATTAGGCAGCTGTGCAAGGGAACCAACCTGAGGGCTACTCTGGAGCAGGGTCAGCAGATCCAGCGATGAACCGCAGTTGAGATGATGTCAGTCCGACTGTCAAGGACCATTGACTGGGTGTGGTCACCTTTGAGAGTTAATTTAAGTGTCAAATCCTGAAGCAGCAGCTAGAAGGCAACATCTCAGCTAGGCTGGGGATGTTTTGTGACAATAGGGTAGCCCTAGTTTTGCCTCTCTTCTTGCACACACCAACTCAAAATGAATTTTAATCGAAAAATATTTTTAAGTGTTTTTTTCCTTCTAAATCATCTGTGGTGGTGAACCAGTCCATGTGCTTATTTGCTCCATGTTGTCCAGTCAGCACCCCCAAAAATGAGCATTTATTTTCCAGTGACCTTTAGAAATGGTGCATCTTGCAACATCATTAAGCAATGGAGTAGACACTCTGGGTCTGGGTCTTATTTTCCCTGTGGATATGAATGATTTTCCTGCAGCAAGGACACAGACATCTGAACTCATAATGTGTTTATGTTGTTATTATTTATTTCTACTATTTTAGTTTCCAGGAACCTTAATCATGGGCCAAACTTCTATTGCAGTAGGCTGTTCAAGTGCAGACTGAAAAATCAGCATTTCTGTAAAGCGCTTTCAGTTGAAATAACTGGATGGGTACCAAGCACGGGAAACAACGAGGCTGTGCATTTCTGCATGGTCACCCGAAATATCGGTATACCTTGTCTATCCCATCATCTGTTGCTAGGAAGAGTTCAGAGAAGGGGCTGAAGGCAGTTGATGAGGTACCTCTGCAAATGCTTTTCTAGGCATGAGGGGTATCCTGAGGAGGAAGGAGATCTGCAGTTAGGCACTGTACACTAAGTGAGCCATGAAGGCTGTGTTCGCAGGCTCAGCAGAGACGGGAGCTGATGCCCCAGTGCTAACTGAGGGCTCAGACACTCTGAGCTGTATCACTGAATTACCAGGGCTGGGGTTCAGCTCCAAATGCAAGCACTTGTTGGGTTAAGGATGGGGATGCAGGCATCTGAGCTCCTGTTGATGAAGATCCGAGCATCAGTGAAGCCTGAAGCTCTCCTAAAGCAGGTACCTACAAATGGTCCACTGAGCCAATCTCTAGATTCCCTGAGCTGAGCAGGTACATGCTGTCCACCTGTGAGATAGCAAAACAAGTCAAAACTCTTTGAGTTTTAAACAAAAATGCCATACCTCACACTTGCAATATCTCTGGGCTGTTACTGAGGTTTGCCTTATGCTAGATAACCTGGTAGTGTAACTAAGACCTGCGAGGAAGACCAGTACAAGCTGTACCTTTTATGGTCATGGCTGGCAGTGATTTAATTAGTATAGACTTGTCTGTAGGGTGTGAGCTCAAGCCCAGCTTTTCTTAAGTAATTCAGGAAATAAATTATATCCTCTGAAATACATGGTGTCCTTAATGTCCTTTTTATAATGCAAGTTAATACTGCAAAATGTAAGAAAAGCTGATACTCCAACTCCAGCTGCAAGGCTCAGGTTGAATTCAAACTATGTCAGCGCTGCTCGAAATTGGAAGATACTGCTCAGAGCTACCTTTAATAAGATCTATACCTTTAACAAAAATAAGAAAAAAAACGCCTTCACCTGTGCAGATCACTAATAATACTGAAACGAAAGACCATAAGGGACTTTTTTTGTTATTTTTCTGATTTGCAGCACTGACTCAGTAAACTAACTCGAAGCAAACACAAAGGGAAATAAATCTTCCTCTGTAGACCAAAGAGATCGTGTCCATACCTTACACTAAGTGATGAAATTAAACAAATACTGCCTTTCACTGGAAGCAAGAAATTCTCCTGGAGAGACTGCTGTGTACAAAGTCAACTTTATTCAGTATTTTTATAGAGCTGGAAAGACAGTTCAGAGAATTTTTGTTGAAAAAACTTTATTTTTAAAAATAATGTTGGTACTCCAATTACAATGCCACCTGGTGAAATAACTGGAGACTTCATCCGCTTATGAATTATGGCACTATCATTGAAGCTGACTGTAGAGCATGTGTCATAGGTAAATTCTCCGATCTGTTGGCTCTTTAGGCTTTTGGTTTTCAGTGTCATCAGCAACAGCCTTTTTCTATATCCTCATATCTTTGTCTTGGCTTGTAAGGCAGGATTTAAGCAAAGAGAGCAATATGGTGCTCTAATGCAGCATTACTGAAAATAATTTGCAGTAGTTATGCTGGTGGATGCTGTAGTGCCTGGGGTGAGAAATAAAGAGCAGATTTGAGGATCTGATCCCAGAACCCACTCAGATGCAGCAGAGGAGAAAAGGAGAGTTGGACTTATCAAGGGACATAGTGAGACACGTGGACTGCTCCACAAAACTAGCTGCAACAGCCTCATTTCTGATGGCAGAGAAGTAGAAATAAAGGGGAGACAGTGCAAAGCCAACAGGAAGGGTCTATGGGGACTTTCTGAGAGATGAAATTGCAGGGAATAATTGGTTTTGAAGTGGAGACAAGCACAGACACTGGAGGGGAAAATGCTGCCAGCACCGTAGTTATGCATTTTGCTATCATTGTGGCAGCAGACAGGATGCTCCTGCATGTCCTGGAGGTTATTCTCGTTCATAAAGCTGGCACACTGCCTCAAAAGCCCAGACCACAGTCTGTTTTGACATGGGTTAAGGGCTTATCTAAGCCTTTCTCATAGTGTAAGAGAATCCAGTCATCGGCATGGACTAATATACAGAAAATATGTCTGTGCAGGCTTGGCCTCCAGAGACACCTATCTGGAAAAGCCATCAGACTTCAGTTTCCATCTTGGAATGGCATTTGTTCACCTACCTCTAAAACATAGCCATCCCTTCGTTCATGGAAAAGAGATTTAGGCCAAGCAGCCTATTGATGTAGTCACAGACAAAGGTTTTTGTTCCTTTTCAGAGCTTCCTTAGGGAGTGCAGAACCTAAATCTTAATAGCTCTGCCTTTCCCAGCCTGTCTTTCAGCAAGGTACACACTGGCAGAGGAGAGCATCCTTTAGTGGATCCTGGAGGACCGGCACAGCTGTTCCTCCAATATGGAGAGTGTCAGATTTCTTTCCTGAGAACTGTCCCTGCATTACATTGTCTAAAGAATGGAGCTGGATGAAACACAAGCCTGAAAAAATCCACACACACCAATGTTTTTAAAGATGTCCCCCCCCACGGCACACACACACCTCTACACACTATTTGGATTTTAATTAACATTTGAAATCTTTTTGTTTCAAAACAACAGTTTGAAAATACTTTGATTTAAACATTTTGATGAAAGATCCATGTTTTGCATTTGTTTTCCAAACTGAGTTTGTGTAGTCCTGTTTTAGAATAAAGTTTTCATATATCAGTTTTTGCTTCAGCATCTAGGAAGTACACATCAGAGTCTTTGCCAGCCAGAAGAAGAACCACACTATGATTATTTTCTTCTGGATCAGACTTTTAAAGGGGCAACACTGGGGAGTGGATTTGGGACAGGGACTCTCATCTGTATAATTCATCAAATGATCTCTGAAAAAGGTGATCATTTAAATCAGGTACTTTAATCTGGATTCAGCTAAAAAAGGAAAGCAAAGAAAACAGATGGCGTGAGATTTTGGGGTTAAGCATTACAAGCTGTCCCACTTCTGCTGTTTTATGGGGTTTTTTTAATCACAAGTAACTGCTGTCAATTTGGTCCTTTCTAAATACATAGAAAGAATAGTTCTTGCTCTGAAGTATACTCAGAAGTCAGGAGAAGGGCTACAATAACAGAAATTTGTATACAAGTAAAAGTGATTTGCTCTAGACAGTAGTAAAAGGGAGGCCTCTATAAAGGACATGTATGAGGTATTTCTGCAACTTTCATGTGATCGTGCCATTTTATTTCTCTGTCTCCCAGTCACTTGCTGTAGCCCAGGCTGCAGAAAGCAAGAAATCCAGCAGGACAGTAGATGTACTGGTGTACGCAGTCAGCTGGAGCAGGCTGTCAGCATCCTGTGCATCTCCCATCTCAGAGAGCCTTTTATCAGAAGAGCTTTCAATTAGTGGGTGTAACATTTGTTGGTGCAACGTGTGGTGAAGCTACCTGAGTAAACCAGTCTTGGGCATGCTGTCCCGGATGATTGCTCTCATGGAGAGCAATGAAACAGAATTATTAGTGGCAATTTAGGGTAAGGATTAGTGTGCTTCCATTTCAAGACTTATGGTTGCATAAGGTTATTGTGGTCCAGAATATAGAAAGTTTAAGAGAATAATTAGAAATTGTCTTGGATAGTAAGAATATCAAGAGTTACTAGGAGAAATAGTTGGAATGATGAGGATGTAGGACCTCATGTTTCAGGGATTATGCTGGTTGCTGACAGATGCTTGAGTGAGACTTTGCTTTTAGGTCAGACCCCTGTCTGTACTGCGTGGGGTGACTTGCATCACAGTTGGGGATGCTTGGGCTGAGGCAGGGTCCTGGCTAGGGTTTTTTACCTCTTGATAGAAGCTTGCTATTGTAGGGCCATGGAGAATATGTGTTTGATGGTGGGAGGTGGTTCAGTTATTGGCAGAGAGAGAGAGAACAAAATTGGGCTATTAGGGAGGAACCAATGGAATTGGCAAGGAAAGTCTTCGAAGGTAAATTTTGCACTTTCTTTCCTGCACTTATGAATAGTCCACTCGGCCGCTGAATCAGTTTGTTGTTGTTTTTCTAAAGGTACCTTTGCCTTCTTTCCCAGTACTGCACCCACTCTTCATGGAAGCCCCTTCTTGGAGCCCCTACCTTCTGCAGGACCTCCCAGCAATACCATCCTTGTAGAGGTGGAGTAGGTCCAAGCAGAACTTCCATGTCCCTGGTGTCTGAGGTCACTCCATCCAGTTGTGTCCGCAGTGTGGTATTTTCTCTTGTGCTGGGCTAATTTGGACTGCTGATTCTTTTCTTTGAATGCCAAAGCCTTGTTAAGTGATGGATGGTCTTGACCAGGTGCCTCCTGATGGGACTAGAGCTCCTTAACTGCAGGACCCTCCTGCGATAGCAGCTGAACCAACGTCCACAGAAGCCGATGCAGGGCTCCCCAGGAATTATATCAGCAGCGTCAGTGCATCCCAAGGCACATCTTTCTGGGATTTTTTAGTTGTGCTCACTGCTCACATTTGAGGCACTCTACAAATGCTAATGTTGTTGGTGGGATGACTCCTTGTCTGTTCTGAGTTGCAATGAAAGCAGATCAGGGGAGGCAAATGCATCTGCAGGTCCCTTTTTTGGTTGCTTTGCTCCATCTATTGGTGAGAGGCTGTCTTCTTTTTTGGCTGAATTTTACAAGTGTATTCTAAAAAGACTGCTTATCTGCTACCTTCTCTGTCAAACCATGCCACAAATAACTCCTTGTCCTCACTTTTTTACACCATTTTCTTCTCTTCAGCTACATTTTTCCTTAAACATGAAATGCTAATATTGATCCATGACTTGTAATACCTTACTCGCAAAGGCTGTGCTTTGTGATATTGAATGGTGACACAGGTCTAGCAGGGAAAATGCTGACCGACCATTTTCTATCTTGTATCAGTTGCTCAGTTTCAATTCTTTACAGAGAGTTTGGGTGGGGGGTGGTTGGTTGTTGGGTTTTTTTTAAGTACAAACACACCAGAACTCCCCCTATGCTGAAAACTGAAAATGAATGAAATCATTGTGTTAGAAAGACAGAAAGAGACAGCCAGGGTAAAATTTCAACTCCCTCAGATATCCAATTCTCACATCCATCCTCATGTTGTTTGCTTAGGTCCTGATCCAAAAAAACCACGAACACATGCTTCATTCTGAGCACAGGAGAAATCCTATCTTGTCTACAGTGGAAGCTGGAAGTAACAAATACCTCTGCATCTCAGGCAACCTGTTAAGATCTGTCGAGTATGGAAACAAATTTCTCAGCTAGGAAGCCAAATTTAACAATTTGCTCAATACACAAAAATAAATCCCTCTGAAAATTGGATGGCTATTGAGAGAATATTTTCCCTAAGAGAGACAGCTGTTGGAGGGAGATGAGTAAGGAAGACTGTTAGGATATTTCCAACTGAATGTGTGCATTGAAGTATGAGTTTGTGAGGACCTTTTACTATCAACAAAGTTAATGTAGAGCATTAAAATAGTGGTGCCTTTGCTTTAAAACATCTGATCCACTACATTCTTTCTCCATAGTCTTGGATTCATATTTTTACCTCCCCCCCTCCAAAAAAAAAAAAAAAGCCTAAACCACAAGCCTGTTCCATTCATTAGTTACTTCAGAGATCTTTTTGCAGAGGTAAATTGTTCCATTTGAAACGACATTAATCAAGATTAAATTAGGCTAGATGCTACAAGGGATCCCACTGGACAAGCTTTGTGGTGTACATTACCATTGATGGCCTTGAGCTCCTCTGTCTCTTGTACTGGAGTGGAGGATGGAGCTCACCTTGTAGCAATAGTAATTAGTGGCTTAAGCAGGAGATCCTGTTCTGCTCATGAGCATGGTTCCCTTGGAGCTCAGTTTGGCATCTTGCATTTTTTTGGTAGAAGTTAATGAAATAAAACTCAGTGCTTTTGCCCATTTTGAATAGGGCCCCGACTGCACAGGGAAGGACCTGAGGCTTTCAGCCACTATCAGAGAGTTCAATAAACTGGTTTTGCTTCCTTTCTTTCAGGGACCTCCAGGGCCCCCAGGCATTGCTGGACCCCCTGGACCACCTGGAGCACCAGTAAGAAAACAAGCTTACGGGTTTTTTTGTTTTATATCAAGGAGAAGAAAAAACAGCTGGGGAGAATTTTAGGTCATGGATTTCAGTGGGAACTGAGTCAGGGCCTCTGGTAATCTGTGTTTTCTCTTATATTTTCTCACTGAAAAGCCACAGCTGGTCCTAGAGGACAGCTTCTCTGTGCCGAGCGTTGGAACTGCATTGGTGCTACCTGGGGATAAGTCAATGTCTACAGGACTCCCCACAGCAGAGACCTGACTGCCGTGGAAGGGAAAATTGCATTTAAATTGAAAGCAGCAACCTCCAGTGAGATTGCTGCAAAGGGCAGAAATACTGTTGTTTTTTTTTTTCTTCTGATTTAATTTTTCAGGGACTGCCAGGAGAGATTGGAGTTTCTGGTAAAACCGGACCACTGGGGCCAGCTGTAAGTGTTGAGGAACTGCTTCCTTTGCTTCCGTGCGCTCCATGACTTCAGATACTTTAATTCTCATGTCTTTGCCTCCTTTCCTGCAGCTTGTCTGCATGCAAGGTTTTAATGTGGGCTCCAACACTGTCGCCTTTAATGCAGACATTAGCCTCTGATACCTTTTATGAACAAGAATTTTACCAGACGCAGCTCCACTATTCCTACACACTGGAACCGTGATGTTTTCTTTGTATGATACCTTTCAAAAGTCTTTTTGCATTTGGCAAGATATTGTTCTTTAAAACCTGGGGTTTCCTGAATTAGGCCAAAGAACTGAAATTAAAATCTCAGATTTAGCAGAGCATAGCAATTTCTGTTGGCTGTTGAGTCAAGAAAGGTTGATTATGAAATACTTAGTATTAAGAAGTGCCACCTACAGCCTGCAGTGTTTGGGGATTGACTGACACTCGAAAGGGGACAAAACTTTTTCTTCCATTTTAAATGCATTATGGGAAGTAATTTTAATTCTTATCTTGCTGAACAATTCTGTCACTATGTGTTGTATAATTTAATTTTAGGAGTCTATGTATTGTATAAGAAATTACCAATATTTCAAAGGAGAAATAGACTTTAAAAAATCTTTATAGCTACAGATAATAGACACTCATAGAGAATGATAAGTAAAAAAGTAATTTTTATTTAAGAATTCCCAATGCATAAATCTCTATACTGTTGTTTCTCTGTAACAACACTGACATCCAGTGGTCATTCACCAAAACTGGGATACCGGTAAAAGGGCCGAGCAGATATGTGCATTGTGAGAACTTTTGTATATTTTGAGTCCCAGCAGGGAAAAAGTCAGAACAAAATGCATGAGGTGGTTCTTCTTTTCTTAAAATTAGGTCAGTGGCAAGAGGGACGAACTGAGCGTGCTTATGCTGAGCTTGCTGTTAATGATTTAAAGAACAGGCACTTACAGCTTATGATTTTCTCTTGCTTAGGGGTTGCCTGGCAAAGATGGATTAAATGGGCTTCCTGGGCTTCCAGGACAAAAGGTAAGTGACGCCACATACACTGGTATTAAGCTGCTTACCTGGGCAGCTTACCTGGGTGAGCTAGCAAGCGTAAGTGAGAAGGGGAGCAGATCTCCAGAGCCAAACACACCTCACCAATCCCACATACTGAGCCACCAGTGAAGCTCCGGGGCCAAGACAGCTGGTGTGATTGCACTGTACTGAGTCGTTATGAAGATGGAGCTGGTTGTAAATACAGCAGGGATGAGAGATCCTCTTCCAGTCTTCAACTACTGCATCCTATTTGGCAAACACAGCTGAGCATGGCAAACACAGCTGAGCATTGCAAACAGAGAAGCTTCTACTGTCACTCAGGAAAGGCAGTGACACTGGTAAGTCAAGGCATGTGTCCAAGGCACAAAGAAGAAGAACAAGTAAGTGTGGCAGGCTCCAAAGATGTTCCTTTCTTTCCTCCCTGAAGGGCTGGAAAGAAGAGATGCCATCCCCCTAAGGCTTCTGTAGGTCTGTGTGGCAGAAAGATGGTTCTTCATTATTTCCTACTACTTATGCCCCATTTGAAATCTTCTACAAATGACAGATTGGGAAGAGTTGTCTCCTCTGCTGTCTCTGCAGTGGGAGAAGGGAGATAGGAGATTTAGAGGTAGGAAACACTCTGGTTGACTTGCCATCGCTATGTAAGTAAGTGTCAAAGAAATGTGCCATATTTTGACTATGAAGGCTAACCGAGGCTTTGGGGATGATGACACTATATTGGAATAAGGACAACAGCTCTTAACCATCTACTGCCTTGGACTGCACTGGCGGCAGTCTTCTTGTCTCTGATACTTGAGCACTATGACCCCTACTTGTTCCAATAACACACTACATTTATACTTGCCTCTCTCAACTGAGTGCACTGAGTGCTTGAGCCCAGGTCTAGCAGAGTCCCCAGCTCCCATTTATTGATGAATAAAGGTGAAGAATTTGAAGCCTATAACAAATTTCTGAGGCTAAATAAACTTTGGATTTTATCCACAGCCCTGTTCAGCACCTACCGCACTTCCCAGCTATGTAGCGTGTTTCAGCTCTTAATCCACTGCAGCCTCTGCTCTCCATGCTGACACCACCCACGCTGAAAGATCAGTTTCAAAGTTATTTACCTGAGGCCCAGTGGCCAAGGTCCCAATCCCGCAATTCTTTATTTTTCTTGACAGAAATAATGTAGACTTTCTAACCACATATAGTTTGAAGAAACTGAATGGAGATTTTGTTTTTCAGGTAATTCACTACGGACATCTTTAATGTAACAGTGGTTGACTTTGTGTTATTCTAGAAATATTCCAGTAGGGTGATCGGTGCTGGAGATGTGATTGCAAACAGCACTAGAATGGAAAAACATTCCAGGAAACATATTCTCACATGGCTCCATTTACATCCTCAGGCTGATACTGAGGATCTGAGTCAAAATATTCCTCGCCGTTGCCTGCAAACATGCTGCACTACCAGAGGAGTTTGGATATTAACTTCTCGTGTTCCCTGCAGGGAGAACAAGGGGAAAAGGGTGAGGAAGGCTTTCCTGGAAAAGCTGGCCCTAAGGTAAGGATTTTTATTTCATAGTTTGCTGTAGCCATTGAGTCAATCAAGGTGTGATTTTTAGAAGGTCTTATACTGAAGTCAGGAGAGTAAGATTCCTCTAAAGTTGGAGGCGTAAGAGGATGAGCAGCTGTGGCTCCTTGCCTTTCAGAGTCCATGGTGTTCCAAAATACCAAACCCTCTCAAATGTACATGTGTAGGGAGATCTGACCTGGCCCTTGCTTTGGCTCCCTGTGGTCTGGGTCCCAAAGCCACAAGAAGGTAACTTCAGTGCCTTATGGGAAGTAGGTAGAATGGGTCAGGACAATGGGGGACACACTTTACTAATGAGAAAGTGTTTTTACAATGGGTCAGGTCCTTGCAATGTTAAAGTTTTACTTTTGTTTTTCCAGGGTGAACCAGGGAGCCATGGCCAACCTGGTGAGGAGGTGAGCAGGAAAAATAGTCTTAGCAGCAAGGTCTACCTGTCAGTGTGATATAAAGTGACCACACGCAATAACAAAGCCAGTTGCCAATAACAAGATCTATGCATGTCATTTGCATCTGCAATTGAAGATGCAACAGATGAGTGGATGAGACTCATGGTTGGACAGAGTAATGCAAAAATTCCAGAACAAAAATATGCTAAATCCAACTTTTCATTGTATCCTGGAAAATTCAATCATCTTGTTCCTGGTTGATAGGGAAGAAAATGAAGACAGGGTGGCTTAAAAGTGCTTGTTTTCCTTCACACTTCACGCTAACCCAGGGTGCTGGTTCTAGAAGATGAGGAACTTATTTGTAACTACATGATGCAAGGGGTGATGCTGTCATTTCTAAGTTGTGAATGTTTGCTAGGAAATAACCCCAGATGACTGTTAGACTGTTACACAGTTATTTTAGTCTTTTTGTATTGGGATTTGGGTTTCAGCAGACAACTGCTGAACTCAGTGAAGAACCAGGGAAATGTCCTGTGATTTCCTAAAGCACACAGCTGTCTAGAGCCCAGTCAGGACCACTAACCATAGATGTTAACATTGTCATCCACATGCCAACTTTTCAACTGTAGTATGAAAATTTGTAGAAAGAGAAATCTATATAATACAGTCCCATATCTTTGGCGTACATCTTAGGATTTTGGAGTACAGAGTATACACCAACAATGGAAGAGTCTCAGAGCCTCAGTATTCTCTTACTCCTACCAGCCTCAGTCTGATCTTCTGCTATAAAGATGAAATGGGAGAATGGTCATGACCAAGCAGAACATGTGCCACAAACTGGACTTAGAGGGAGTAATGGAGGAAGCTGTCCATGAGGAGTCTCATATAGCAGCTTTCCATAAGCTGTGGCAGTCTCTCCGTGACCATTAAATTTTAGGAATTGTTGACCATTTTTCCTATTTGTCAGGGTGTCGCGGTCAGAATCCCTACCGCTATCTACCCCTTGAAGGAATAAGGTTCTGAGCCCGAGGTACCAAGTGAGTGTTATTGGGATAAGGCACTTATTAAGTAGATAACATGTCACCCTGCGAGTGAGGACTATGCTGCTTCCATTCCAAAATTCCTCATAATCTACCTAACAGGTATCACTCAATTCCCAGGAAAGTATCCTTACCTGGCGTCCCAAGTAAGGGGAGATCACCACGGCGCGGGCCAGCCGTTCCTCAGGAGCATTTGCATCGGGCTCTCAGCGAGCGGTTTCTACACCCTTCCTCGGTGGTTCCTGTGGTCACTGCCCAGTGGTGTCTTTTTGCTGTTGCCAGGCAAACAAATTGCCGGGATTGCAGTTGCTGGGCAAGCTCGGGCCCAGTGCAATGAAGGGTCAGACCCCAGGCCAAAGCACTGCCACTCCGTCTGGATTGTCTCCCCACACAGGGCTGTTTTGAATTCTAATACCACCTTCCCAAACACTTGCCTTTCTCTCCACAGTGTGGTGTTCTCCACACATTTCACAAACATTCTCTTTTTTGTCACCTCAGTCATAAATTAAAATATTGAATAGTGCAGACCCTTAGGGGACTTCACTTCATATATCCTCTGAATTTGACAAGAAACAGCCAATAACAGGTGTGTGAATGTAGTTTCTTCAATCAGTTGTACACCATCCTCCAGAGACTCTTCTTCTACGCTGCATTTCTGTAGTTTGCTAATGAGAATGTCATGATGGCCTGTGTCAGACGTCTTACTATTGTCAAGATACATCACAAATGCTTCCTTCTTGTCTGCTTAGTTATCATGTCCAGGGCAGGAACTGGATGGGTTTGATATGATTAGTTTTTAACAAATCCACATTGGCTGTTTTGTATTATCTTTCTGTCCTTGAGCTCATACAAACTCATTGATGTTTTGCTTCAGTACCTTTCCAGAGGCCAAAGTTACATCACACGTTTTTATTTTTCCTCCAAATTCTCCTTTTTTCTTCTTTAACGTTAGGCCCTCTGTTTGTCCTCATGATCTCTGGGATCTCATCATCAGCCAGGATCCTACAGTGGCTCTCATAAAGCACCACTCCCTCTGTCACCAAATGTCACTGTCTTCAGAATTCTCCAAACATCACCCTGATGTTCCTAGTCATACTCAGTCACCACAGCATCTTGTTCCTCACCTGATCTCTTCTGCAGACTCCTTGCACCTATATCATGATAATGTTTTGACGCTTCCCATACTTCAGAGAGAAAATCTTTAAAGCGGGGATCACCTTTTCTTCGTTCAATATTTGTACAGCACTTAGTGCATTTGGGTTCTGTCCATGACTGAGATCCTTTGTGATATTGCACTACAAATGCAGATAGCAGAATAATTACAAATAGGAAACCACATGGATACTTTCAAATGACAAACTAGGTTAACCTGGAGCTAAATTTGAGAATACTTGATATATTTAGAACAAATCACATGACACAGAGATCATAATTACTCCAATAGCAAGTATTACAAAGCAGAAACTCAAAGGTAAGGTTCAAAAGGAAAGAAATCCAAATGTGCAATAGTGCATCCAGAAAATTCTAGATCTGTTCGTCAGGCAACATCTGTACCATTCAGATTAATATAGTGCATTTCCAGACTACACCAGCTCATTAAAAATTGAAATAAAAATTAGTTTTAATTTTTTAAGCTGCTTTTATTTGCTTACTTGGTGCTGCTACAGAGCAGCATGAAGAAAACGTCCTAAATTCCATGGTGTCAGTTAACAGTGTAACAGCAAAAAAAAGAGGTCTTATCTGCTGTTTTAAATAATGATTTTCCAAGAGTAAGAAATTATTTGGTAATCAAACTAATCCTATTCTCTCTCAGCAAACTACATCTGTAATCAATCCCATGAAAAAACTGGGGCAGGTTCTGGCCTACAGCATAGACCATATGTATCATGGTGTCACTAGACATCAAGAAGAAAACATCTGCAGTCATTGTGAGTTCTGAAAAATTCACAGTCTAGTATCAGACATGCAAAGAGATAGACAGCTAAATCAAGGTTTCATCCTTCACAGCCTAAGGGCACTGTAGCTAGATTAGCATACCCTGAGGAGCAGACTTGATGCATTTTTAACTAACATGAGTGAGACAAGAGTTTGGCCCACCATTCTGCCTTTTCATTCTTAATTATGTTTGAGAGTAACGGGGTTTATTAATAGAAGCCATGCTTGATGCCTCTTCCTAGATTTCACACACTTCTTCGTCTTACTTTCAGGGTGAAGCAGGTCTTCCTGGTCCTCAGGGTTTACCTGGACTGAGAGGAGAAAAAGGAGACCAGGTGAGTGACTTTGAGCCACAGCTTGGGTTTTTTTGGCCATTTGGCACCAGGAGGGCTTATCTTGAGTGTCCCTAGATGATGTTCTCTCTTGGTGTGATTGCTGTGGTGAGTAGCTGATTGGCATCCAGCAAGGTCACCAAGTACCCCTTCCAAAAAGGTGCTTTACTGCCTAGTGACTGTTCCTAATTGCAGTGGAGGTGCTAATGAACAGTGTCTATCCTAAACGCAGAAGGTTATGACTCGTGAGGCAGCAGAAGAAGTACAGTGGTCTTTAGGCCTTACTTTCAGAAATACCTGCCTGATTTAAGAACATTTAAAAAAAAATAACAACAAATCACAAATCCCCCTTGTCACTGAGCCCTGGAGAGGGCTCCAGATGGTTGGATCATTTTCTGATGGCCTAACTTCCGTCCAAGTCCTGGTGTCTCCTGCTTCCCCTGGCTAGCTCCAGACCTCCAGAGGCATCTACATACTGGGAAACAGTTGGATCAGGGGCCTGACAGTAAATTTAGCCATGTAAATGAGGCCTGTACTCCTGATAACTGACTGCATGCTTGAATGTGAGCAAGACAGATCTAAAATCAACTGAGGTCTTACCATTCAGTTTGCTATATTAGATGTATTGTAGAGCATAGAGTATAGAATATATTCTCTCTCTATATAAAAACATAGAAGTGTAGGTCAGATAGCTCCTATTTGAATGCGGGATAAATACATTTTGTGTATGCACTTTGAGGAGTATTCACATCATCCTTCTTAAGCATCTCCCATTCAGATGACCAGGTTACCTGGGCAAAATAGAGTGTAGGCACCAGTGAATGGATGATTCAGAAATCTTTAACATAAACAAAACTGGTAGTATGAATGTCCACTTTGGGTCTTAACTCCTGTTCTGGTGCCTCTCTTGTCCAACTAGAAAAAATGTGGTTTTTATAACTGCATCAGGCAGTAGGATCTTCTACATGAAAGTTGATTTAGGATTGGTGCTTTCCTTTCCATGAACTTAATTGCTATTCGTTGACTTTTGAAAATAGTGTGGATTTTATGAAGCCATCTCCAAAATGTTACGTTTTTAATTGCTTGCACTGCATCTTGGAGGACAGGTAAGATCAACTGAAAGTGCAAAATATTCTAGTGGGACTGATGCAATCAAATCAAAACATGCGTATTTCCTGCTTTCTTTTCCCTGCTTGTAGGGAGAAAAAGGAAAAGGTGGTCTCCCAGGGTTGAAAGGTGAAAGAGGAGAAAAGGTGAGTCATGAAATGAGCATGCTCCTCCTTAGACAAGAGAGGAAAAGAGGCAAGTGCACAGAGACAAGTGATAGAGGAGAATATCTGAGGAAGATTAGAAACATTAGAAGTCTGTTAGCTGAGCCTTACCGAGAAGCAGCAGAGAAAGCTGCATGTGGGACAGAGACAACCATTTATTGAGTAATGCAAGAAATAGTAAAGAGTTGATGAAATCTAAGGACAGTTTCTTTAATTCAAGGAAACTTTTCTGTGTTTTAAAAATTGTCTGATAGAAATGAGCCTGGAATTAAATTCTAAAGAACTTTTCTGTGCCTGCCTGTGATGTGCTCGAACAATAATTTAAGGAATGGTCTGGGCTTCTGCCATCACAATACTATTATTTTTAGTGAAAATGAGAGAACTAGACAAAGGTGATGTCCGCCAAAATTTACATTCAACCACTGTGAACATGAAGGTGAAGATGAAGCACTGACCTTGCAGATGCCTATGGTTGTATAGTGAAAAATTTGCCCTCATTATAGTGGCAGTAGCCATCAGGAAGCGGCTACTACTTTGTTCTTCTTCCTAGGATACCTCAGCCCTCAGTTTACCAGTGACTTTCACTATCTATGGAGGGCGAGAACTGGATTTAGAAACATATTTTTGATGAAAAACAGAGGATTTTTTTTCCATCTACAAAAGAAGTTCAGCTAAAACATGTTTTTCTATCAAGAATTTTGATCTACTTTAACTTAAAATGCAAACTAAACTCCATATCGCTCCTACACTGGATGGAGTAACATTAGAAATTCATTGACCTGTGAAGTCAGATCAATGATAAAGTCATAAAGTGATAAAGACAGCAGGGTGAGAACCCTGTAAGTAACAAAGCAAGGACAGCAGAAATTCTGGCCAGAGCAGTGGGGTAAATTCCACCCATCAGAGAAGTGCTATAGGATTTTCAGTGTCACTGAGCTGACAGGTTGTCATTGGGTTACATCTCATCTGGTAATGTTGCATCTTCTAGCTGATAATGTTGAGTTTTATTTGGGCATCTTTTAAAACCTTAGTTGTATTTTTCTCCTCTCTCCAGGGTGACACGGGTTCCCCTGGACCACCAGGTTTACCTGGAACAGTAAGTAAGATTGTGTTCTGTGCTGTAACAATATTTAAGGCATCATCACACTTCCTCCACACAAGTTCCTCAGAAACAAAGCTTTTCAAGATCCCTACTTCTCTGCAGAAACTTTAGGACCCATTTATTCTGAGATTATCTCGCTTTGCTTCAGAGAAGCAATGTCAAGGTGTATTTGGTCTTTTCATTTCTGGGGGAGGTTGTGCCCGCCTCTGCCTCTTTGCAAAGAGCATTTTTGTATGCCCTTGCCTTGTGGTAGCACTTACATTGAATTTGTGATTTGTTTAGCAGCTGTGGGAGCTGTCTGAAGAAGGTCATGGCTGAAAACAGGGAGTGTTTTCATACAGATTTTCCAGGGTGAGCTAGACTTTTCCAACTGAGACCTCAGGATAAGACTGGCTCTGAACAGATACCAGTGAACAACAGCTTGTCTTCTTGGGGAACAATTCGCCTTTTTCCAGGAAGAGCAGAGGGTTCCACTTCTCATTGATGTGAACTTACGGGGTGGAACATTCAGCTTCAGCGATGCTGCAGCCTCCCAGAGCCTCCATTGCATACAGTGCCCTGCTGTGCTGTTAGCCCAGAAAGACCCTCTCACCCCAGAGTTCATTCTGGGTTCAGCACTGGATCCAAGACACAAACCAGTCATACCTGATTGCATGTACCCTTTCTGCTAATAAAAAAAAAGACCAAGAAAACATCAATTTATTGTTTTAAAAATGAGCCTGCAAAATTACTTTTGGGAGCATAAGCATAATTACAGTGAAGATCACTATAAGCAATTAAACTGGCATCCACTGAATGTAAATACGTAAACCTCACAGTTCCCTCCAGCAATATCTGAGTAAGCAGCTTGGAGTAAGCACTAGGAACAGGCCTGTCATTGCAACAGGAGGGCTGATCCCAGTCACAGATCCTCCAAAAAATGGCAGATATCCACTTTTCAGCTTTGCTCACCACCGCTGGTTACAGCTGCCACAGTCACATTATGGAGAGAATTTGAATCAAAGTCTGTTGGCAAAAATCAAGTGCCTACAGACCTTCATGCAGCAATGGAGGAGGCATTATAATTTATTCCCTGTCATTAGTTGGGCCTCTTTAGTCTGTGCCAAAGGGTGCTTCATGGTATCATGTGGGAAGACTGTGTGTATCACACAAGAATGATCCAGTCACAACACCAGGGATAAATCTCTTAGTCAAGGCAGAGAAAGCAGCTTACAAACACAGTACAACATGGCTAGATATAGAGAAGATATGCCCGACTGCTCAAGCTTCCTGTGTTTGTAGGGAGAAATGATTTCTATTTCAGCTGTAAAAGTCGGTGATGATTTTGACATATCCTCATTTCATCAAGGACTAAATTTTTCTTCCTAATTTAATCAGTTTTGATGAAAGACACAGCGTCTCTCTACAAAACTGGATCCCTTTTTTGTGTCTAGCCCTTCAGACAACCATGTTGAGTTGTACATGTCTTGTGCATGGTGCAAAGCAGGGAGAGAACACACCAAGCTCAGCCATGGAGTTAGGAAATTTAATAATACTGAAGATGACTTCAAGTGGAAAAGTGAGCTGGAGATTGTTAACAGTAAACTTGCTAACAAGGTTAAAGATTGTTTGGTTTTTCGTAGCAGTGGGACATACAGGATGTTTTTGAGTGTATGTTCATATTTCAAATACTCTAGGAAATGTCTGATATTTGTGGGCTTTTTTCCAAACAGCCAGATGTTACAATGAATTGCTCATTTATAAACTTACTGATGGATATATGGAATGTGTATTCTGTAATGACAAGGAGAATACATAAGTTATTGCATTTCAAGGAAAACAAGCAATGCTTCTTTTAACACTCTGGTTTCTCTTCCAGACAGCCTTCTTCACCCCACACCCTAGGATTCCTGTAAGTAACATCTCTAATAAACACGGCCTCTGGCTTATTACCTCTTGTATCTGATAGACACACAGTACACTTAGTATTTTCCATGTTATTTAAATGCTTTCAGTAAAGAGCTCAGCTTGAATCTGGTTCTGGGCAACTTCACCACTGTAACCAGCCATGATGAGAAGCCCACGGCTGTCCTGGTAACAGCAGCATCCAAGACAGCTGTGGCTGGGACACAGCTGTATGCCGTCCCAGCCTCTTAAATGAAGAGTGCTTGCAGCACATAGTGGAAAATATCTGGCATTATATAGGAACACACCACTGGTATGTGAATAAGCTTGTTAAGGATCAGGAGGCTTTACGGCATATACTAGTGGCAGAGGTAGGCTGTAAGAGTGCCATTAGAAAAGGAAGTGCGTATGTCAGGTTCTTCAGAGGCTGAGGAAGGAAATAGGAATGTGAGGTTGTACTGGAAATAGATACAAGATTTCTTTGGTTCACTTTTCCCCTTGGCTTGTAGTTTGCTAATATATATACCAAGGAAATACGCAGAACAATGGCATCGTATGTGGTCTTTGTAGTGCTACAATCACAGAAGGAGTCATCTCTTTTGCTTTGAGCATGTTACTTTTGTAAATGGGCTGCAAGACAGTAAAGAATAAGAGGCTTGAAGTGTGTCAGCAGATCAGGGCGCTGGGATTTCTCCATGTGCAAGATGAATGTGATGATACTTACTGTAGCACAGGTCTGCACACAGCGTTGCAAGATTTAGGAGGAGAAGGGGAGGTAAGGATAGTTACCTTTGATTTACAGCTCTACAGATTAAGGTGTCAGAAGGGGGTGATAAGCCTTAGGAGAGTGCCATGTTAGGAGAGGTTATGTTATAGAGGCTGCAGGACCAGCAGGGTGCTGAAAGTTGTCACACACTCTCCAAAACACAGTACTTGCCATTGCATTCCATAGAGTATGCGGTGTATAGTACCAGGGAGCAACTAACACAGGCAGAGACAGGAAACACAGCCTGAATAGAAGGCAGCAGCAGCATTACTCTATTTATTTATTATTAGTTAAAATTAATTTTATTTAAGCACAACTTAGTAATTGTCAGAAATAAAAAAAATCTCTGACCAAGTGAGTCTGAGCTCCCATTTACCCACCACCGCAGCTCTGTTGTGTGTTTTGCATGCAGCCTGTGCTGTGAGCCCTGCAGAAACTTGCTGACACAGCAGGGTGGTAGAAGGGGTGGGGGAGGTCAGTTTCTTCCATGGGGTGCAGGGAGCTTTTTCATGTTTATTTAGGCCAGTGAGTTAAAATCATTAAATATTTCTTGGAGATGGGGTGTGTGAGAACCACAGTGGTGGTCAGGTATGATGGCTGGAAAGAGGCAAAAGCAGTAGAACAGGAGATGGCTCCTCACTTTGCCTTCTATCTCCCACTGCAGCTGGGCACAGCTGAGTCCCCGGTGCGTTTGCTCTTCTTTAAGTGGCACAGAAATGACTAATGCGTTAATTGAGGCTACAGGAGGACACTGCCGAGAGCAGGTCAAGGAAGCTGTAAGCACTGATCTGGCTCAGGTTGGTAGCAGCTGTTAGCTGTCACCGCATCATTTCTGTTCATTGAGCTGTAGGAAAGAAGTGGGTGGCAGTGGATTAAGTCCAGCTGCCGGGGGCAGAGGTCTCCACAATGTGCAGCACTAGCAGACAGTGTTAACAGTCTCGGCAGACAGTCATCGGTTTGGCAAATTTGGAAGGACTCTCAAGCAGATTTGCTGGCAGGTTGGGTTAAGAAATGCTGCCTATGCCCATGTTTGTGGCTGTGCAAGGACATTAGACTGGAATTCTGCTGATTTTGCATTAACATGCAAGTCAAGTATCAAGGAAAAAGTGGGAGAAAGGAGAATATTAAAAAAGCTTCCTTCTTTTACCTGTTGAGTTACTTCTTCCCTTTGCAGTCTTGTTTTCCCTGGTAAAATGTGCTGTTATTCCCACTTAGTAACACCATCCCTGCCTACAGATTTATTGCCGCATATCTGTGCTTTGTTGCTCTGCTCTCTCAAAAGGATTTCAGAGCTTGAAATTTCAGAACTCAAAACAACTTCCAGGCACCACCATAGAGGTTTGTTGCATAGGACCCTTTGCTTGAACTACTTTAGGTGGTCCCGTTATCTTTCTGAGGGCCACTAGATGGCACAAGGGACTGCCTGATTAAAAGTTGATCTAACGGGGTACTACTTGTAGAGTAAAATTCCTCCTGTTATTTATCACAGATGATAATATTTATTCATAATGCATAATAAATACAGACACAAGTAATTTTTATGCAGTTACATTTATTTTGTCTGTTAAAGACTCATTTGCAAATGGACTTTGAATTCCCAGGTGTTGCAGAAATGATTGGCAAATAGCTGATGCGAATAAAATTCAAGCTGATTTGTCTTGGGCTCTGCATTTTGACTGATCACTATTCCTCGTGTGTGTGTAGCTTAAATCACTGATGTTCTTACTCTTCCTTGATTGCATAATTGAAACACCTTGTATGATAAATAATGAATAAGTAATGATTGCTGTTGCCTGAATACATATGTTCACATAAATATACAAATGTGAGTATTCATGTAGTGCCTGGTGTATTCCAGCTAGTTCCATAATTGTGTGCTGTTCCTTTTCAATTTATAAAAAGCAGAAATATGGACTTATTGATTGTTCTAGAGCTCAGAACAAAGCTGATGAACTTCTGTCTGAAAGCATCTTCAATTTACTGTAAGGAGGAAGAACGGGAATAAATTAATAATATTAGTCAATGATGGTGGCGCATGAAATAATATACTTACATTGCAGGAGGGAGGGGAAGTTGCATGGATATATGGAGGTGTTAACAGAACTAGAGATCAAGAAAAGCTGTGTAATGCACATCTCTGGAAGTGCTCAAGAGGAGACCCTGAGCACCCCTCTCTTGTAGGCAGAATAGAGGATGTGTCTGTATGTGAGATAATTTCCCCAATTGTAGGGTGACATTAGGTCTGTGGTCCTACAGAGAGGCAGTGCAGTGGCACCGGCGCTTTTGCTCTTGGTCATATCTGGCCTTTTAATACATTGGAGCTGAATTGATGAAATTTTGGAATGGTAAATTCTTCAACTACTATTCTCTATGAGGGAAAACTGTTCTCTTCTTAAATTGAACATTTTTGCAATTATTGTCATAACAGTCCAAGAAGTCTAGACAAAGATCTCCAAATCTTAGTGTGTGATATCATAGTTTTGATTCATTGACCCTTTGAGAAAGCTACTCTATATTAGAAATTGATATCTGATTGAAAGAGCCCTCTTACAAAACAGGACTAGTGTGACATACAGCCATGGAAATAGCTTTTATTTCTCTCTTTGTCTTATTGTTTTATATCAGGGTGAACCTGGACCAAAGGGGGAGAAAGGAGATCCAGGAACGAGCGGAGAACCTGTAAGCACAGCCAAGTGTTTCTTCAGTTGGTTTTGAACTTTAGCAGGGAGAGGACATAAGAGCTGCCTGTTTTGGAGAGAGATGGGGGGACATGCTCCTTCCATAGTTGGTATGCTTCTCTCATCAGAAATGGCCACAGTGGTGCTTGGCTTTGTCCTGACTGTAGAGGAAGCTGCATGACTACATGAAGTTAAGCACCTAATTTGTAGCTCTGGGCCTTAGTGACTGAAAAGAGGACTATGGAGCTTGCTAGACAGAGCTTGGCTGACAGTAAGGTTGTACAGGATTTATTAAGGGCTTTTGAAGTGATGTGGCTCACCTAAATTGTGCATTTGGCTACTCCATTTGTATTCTGGACTGCTCTCATTCTGGATGGAGCCCCCAGGAGAGACAGAGTCCTGTGCAGTTACAGCCTCTGTAAAAACCACCCTTTCTTCTCTCAGTGGGAGGAAGGAGAAACATATCCTTCTGCTCAGGAGAAGAAAGGAACAGTTTCCTTCAGCTCCTTCACCTCTCCCTCTGTTTTTGCAGGGATTACCTGGGGTCCCAGGTGAACAAGGTGTCCCAGGACCTGCAGGAGGACAGGTAAGAGGGCCCAGCCTTGAAGAAAATCTTTGACATGGCCAGAGAGGGGTGCCTTCAAGGTCTATATTACTGTAAATAATTCTTCCCCTATACACCAACAGCCCATTTCTCCTTCCTCATCTTTGTAAGTTCGGTAGAGGTATTTACTTATACTGGACTTCAGGACAACATGAGGAAAATCAAAGCAGAAACATGGCATCTCTGTAGCATGAACAGTATTGTCTGAGAGATTCCTTCCAACTTCAGGATCCTTCAAGAGAGCATCTTGTATTGATGCCACTGAACCACAGGTCTCACAGATAAGTCACTGCAGTACATTGGCAAGACACTGCAGAGCATTCAGACTCAACCCCAGCCCATTTGACCCTGAATGCGCAATGGCTCATGTGAAATGGTTTTATAGTCTCAATTATCTTCTGAAAATTTCTTGGCTCACGCATATTATGGAAATATCATCATCTAGGTATGTTTTCATGACAACATGGGAGGGTGTTCCCTCTGCCATCGTCTGTGCTGTGCCCAAGCCATATAGTCAGCTATTACTTGGGCATCAACAGCTTAAACAGGTTAACAGCAGTCTTAGCATTATGAAAAAAACAGTAATACCATGCAACTTTTAACTAACATCTGCTAAATGGGGGACTGTTCAGTGAGTAGACTCTGTCCTGCCAAAATCCTTAAGAAAGGGCTACATGGTGTGTCGGACTGGAACAAACTCTCTGGACTGTGATCTATTTTGACCATTTCTAAATGGCTGTTGTTTGTATTTGAGAACTGCAGGCAAAACTTCCTCTGTGCAGGGATACCATCAGAGTTGAGCTGGAAATGAAGTAGCTGGCAGGCCTGAGGATAAGAAGGAATTTCACCCAGATGAATGCCTGCAAGTTTCAGCATCCTCTGCTGAGAAACAGTCTCTGAGCTGATCAGTCATTAGTAATTCTTCTTATGTCTCAGGGTTTTATTTTTATATTTCATTCTCTCACTGCACAGAGAACTGGGAGCCATTTCCTCAGCCTTTAAACTCCTCTGTGAATTGATTAACGAAAACCATTGCCTAGTGCACGTTCAGGCATCTTGAAGTCTTTTTGTCTGGCAGGCAGTCCTGTCCCATCTCTAATCAGCTGGTATTTCTCTTCTTTCTGCACAGGGCACAAAGGGGCAGAAAGGAGCCCGAGGTGAAGCCGGAGCCCCTGGAGAGACTGTGAGTAACTGCTTCCCTTGCAGCATTTTTCCCTGACGATAACACACCTGAAGGGACTCCGAAGTCAGTGCCTTGCAGATTCGCAGTTCCAGGCTGCTTGGGCGCAGGGCCCATCCTAAGCTGCAGCTGGAAGAGTCACTGCTTGTGGGCAAACAGGCACAGCTGCACCAAACAGATCAATGCCCCAATCAGCCCAGCTCTAAATTGTGCATCTTGTGTTGGCCAAGTCTCTCCCTCTAACAAAACGCCCTCTTTTCTGGGTGAGGTGCCGGCAGACCTTGTTACTGCACTGCGATATCAGTTAAGCCCAGGCAGCCAGCTGGTGCAGGGAGCTCACTTCTCATCAGCAGCCTGAATTAGTTTTTTGATCACGGTTGGTTTTAGGCTTCTTAGTCAATTCTGCTTTCTTTAATACAGGCTCATCACCAGAGGAATCATCACATACCACTTTTTGAGGTGTGTGTTGTAGGGAGTGCTGCTTTTGTCTGATTGTGTGCTAAAGAACAGCAAAGGATTCAAGTCCCGTTTTATTAGTGTGAAAGCGTATAAGCCCTTTGCAGCTGAATAAAAGGCCACATACTTTCTTTGCAAGCAGAGAAGGAAGAACTATTTGAAATAACGATTGAGAGAGAGGATGTTTGTGTCTGGGAGAAGGAAGGAATTGGAAATCCAAATTAAGCATCCTCGAGCACTGAAATTTCTTCTTCCGCTTTTGTGTTCATGGTTTTCCTTCTTGGGCTTGTGCTTAGACGTTGTCTCTAGCAGTGCTTTGACCCTAAACTCTGAACTGCCTGTCCCCAGCTCTCTTTCACTCTTGGTTAAAGGACTCCTTAATCTTTTGGGGGAGAAAAAAAAAAGGGGGCAAAAAACATCCCCCTTCCTCCAAACCTATCCATTGGGTTTATTTCTTTGCATAACCTGGTGGCTCGGCTCCATATCATCCATAATGATATGGAAATGCAAGCATATGCAGGCATCCTTTTTTTTGTCATCCTTTCACAGACTGCCACTGCTCCAAATGTTTCTATTGGCTTGTAGACCAGTGACTGTAAATAACACAGAAATGAGGAAACCTTTAATTCTCTTTTAGTAAGCCGAAGGCAACAAATAGACATTCACTTTGTGAAGAGCTGTGCTGTGGAAGATTTTCGTCTCCCAACAGTTTGCATTTTCCTTCTGCAAGATTTTACTGCCCAGCCCTTCCAGTAGAAGGGGTTCTCTGTACTCTACTCCATATCAGACAGATTATTTCAGTCTGCTGATGCAGATGTTTTGAGGCCGCCTGTCTGGTTTAGCCCTAAATGGATTAGGTATGCTTACAGAAATCCTTTTCCTTGCAAAGCTGTGATGACAGGTGAACCCTGGCTAGTGCAGGGTGACAAGCAACTACAGAGGTAGCAACTTCAAGCTGGTATGGTCAGATATAGAGGAAAATATCTAAATATAGCCTAGTAACCCCAAACATACATCTCTATGGGGACATAAATCCCCAAATATATGTCCTTTCATGCCTTCCATACATTTTTGGGGACACACATGGGCTTTCCCACCCTAAAAAGCTTTCACTTGCAGACAGAAAAGGCCTGCAATTCAGAACTACAACACTCTGAATTGTTTGAGCTGTTCATCTATTTAGTGCAAATGAGTCTTTTCAGGTTTTGTTCCGGGGAGTAGAGAAAGGTAGAACTGTCAACAAAGCATGTTTTGTTGACCTAGATTTTTATTTTAATGATAAATCAACATTCTTTCCTCTGTTCTTTTGATGTTTCAGGCCCAGACATGTATCTCAGCTAGATTTATTTTGATGGAGGGTAATTTTAAGCTCCCAAAGAGAGTCTTCATCCATTTTGTATTGTTTCATGCTTCTTTACACTACAAAGTGTTTCACAAAAATGCTGGTTTTTACTTTGTGCTTGTACAACACCTTGTCTGACATGAACTCCAATCTCACTTGGAACATCTTGTTCCTGTGGTGGTACAAGTTGTGAAATATATATGAACACACATTTCATTTTCTTAAAACAGGGTGTGACTGGACCAGCAGGGCCCCCAGGTCCAAGAGGCTTGCCAGGAAATGTGGTATGTATGCACCAGTGTATTTTCCCATCTGTGCCCTGATTTCTTTATTTAATATGTGTAGTTTTCCCTTCCGCAGGGTTTACTATCAGATTCAAAAGGCTGTGTTTCATTTCACTTTTTTTATGGTTTAATTGAAAGATCTGGAGGCACGTGGGAATGGTGTATCCATGAAACATATTCTTACATTCGTTTGTAGCAAGAGGGAGGCATGGAGCTGCTTCATTCCTCACCAAATTGTCAAAAGCAATTTTTTCTGCCAGCTCTTCAAAAGAAAAATTGCAATGTTTATTGTCTCTCTGGTTTTGTTTCCTTTGCCTCATTTTCATTTCTCCTTTCCTTTTGAAAACATGACTTCTTGATACAAAAATTGCATGGTAAACTCCCATTTTTATTATGAAAACATGTAAGTATTTGATCCTACAGTCAGAGCCTTGAAATCCATACAGTGTCCTCCTTACTTCAGTAGGTATTCATCACCATTATTAAGTTGTGCATGATACAGCTTTTCATGTTTGCAAAAAAATCTTTGGACTAACTCTATTCCCTGCTCCACCAGTAATTTTCTTTCTAGTGCCTGAGGTTTCTCTGGGTTTACACTGGAGTAAGTGAAAAACAGGAGTTAGACCCCATGTTATAATGTATTCAGGCACAGTGGTTTAGCACAGAGGGCTCTTTAAAGCAGAGTTTATTACCTGGGCAACCCAAGAAATCTTAAATTGCCTTTCTACTAGTTGTTAAGATACATTTGATTTAATTGTATTAATGTAGTTATTTAATTTCAAACTGAAAGGTGATATAAAAAATGAAGACCTATTCCAATTTCATATTCCTTTAAGCAAACTTCTATACCAGTAATACCAATATATTACCTATAAAAGCTAATATAGTTGGAAATAATTTTTACTGGTGCAAAAAGGAAAATACTTATCACATCCATTCTGTGAGGAGGTCAATCCAATCTTACTGGTGCCAAGACATCATTTCACATCTTAAAATGGAGTACCACTGCATAATGCTAACTCGTGTTTTGGTGAGTTAGGAAGTTACAGTATTTAATCTGGAGCTCTAAATCATCTCTATTTTGACAAGGAATCCTTCGAGATCTGCCAAGACGTAAAAAGGATTGAAAACTGAAATAGAGGGTAAAATGAACATAACTGTTTTCCAATGCATAGCTTTGGAGAGCAGTAGCCATAAAAAATTAATATTGTGAGACTTTTGGCTTCTCTGATACAGAGGTGATGACTGGGGGGTTGTTGGTAATGGATTGGGAACTGCTGAGGATTTCACAGAATGAAAAAAGTAGTTATTGGTAGAAAGAGTGCACAAATCTGGGATTAGCTCAATTTCTGCTTTTGCTGTTCAGCTCTTTTTTATATTGAAAAAAAAAAACCCTCCTTTAAGTACTTGGCACACAGCTCGTCTGCGGTGTTCTCTGGATTACAGGTTGTCTGTACTGGGAAATGTAGAACTGATACTAAGCCTTGAGATAGATTGTACTGAACCCACAGGTCTATCCATTTGCTTTAGGGTCAAATACTGCCTAAAAAGAAAGTTTTAAGTTTTAAAGTTCTTTTCTCTCCAGGGTGTGCCTGGAGGCCCTGGACTACCAGGAAAGGAGGGAACAAAGGGGGAAAAGGTGAGTTTGTTCTTTCATGGATTTGTTTCTTTTCTTCTTGGACATTTTAAGTAACCTGGGACAGAAGCAGTCTGAACTGGGAAATGATTCCATAGGTTCGTGGATGGTTAAGACACATGGGCTCATTAGATTGTCTTGTCTGACCTCATCCATTACATATGCTATAAGGTTTTCACCCTGTTGCAGCTTTATAATTTACCTAATAAAACCACTGAGACAACTGAATACAGTGAAGTCACCGCTACACATTTATGCAATGATGATGAACTACTGTCCTCACTGCCTGACAAGAGTGGGCATTTGGTGTTTTAAGTAAATCCAAAGCTGGAAGAAAAACTGGCTTTCATGGTTAGGAAATTGAGATTTCTGCTTTCCTGATAAGCTGTTGTAACTGGACCATTAGTTCAGCTTTCCAGTGCATCCTCGCTTACCTTTTGCCTGCCTTGCCTAACTGTTATGTCCCATCTCATAGCTAGGCAATGAGCTCTCTGGGGTCAGGGATTTGTAATTTGCTCATACGTTGCCCAGTGCCCAGCATGCTGGAGTCCTGATCTTTGTTTGCTGGAGTAGGAATGATTAATCAGAAACATGGCCCCACGTATGCATATATATGGGGTTTAAAAGGGGATGAATCCCAGCCCCTTCAGTCAAATAATCTTCCAGATTACTGAGATCTACCTCAGGGTCATGTGTGGACCAAAGGGTCTCTCACATAGCTGGTTCCCAAAACATTTTGAAATCTCTTTTTACTTTCCTCAAGGAAAATTACAAATGCCTTGGGATTACTGAAGGAAAAGACTTCCTGTAAAAGAGGATTTCCTATGATACCAAGAGAAATTCAGATGAGAAGGCTAGAAAAAATGCCTGTCTTTCAGTCCCAATAAAAGACCTGAGACAGGAATGGTCTTTAGTATGCTACTAAGAGTTTTGCTGGATTGTCTTCTACAGGGTGATCCTGGAAAAGAAGGAAAAGTGGGTTTACCTGGGCCAGCTGGTGAGCCAGGGCCTGCTGGAGAGCCAGGTTTGCCTGGTAAGGGTAAAGATGGAGAACAGGTGGGTACTGCTGGCAAGCTCTGCACTTGAGTAGTTCAACGTGAGATAGATGAGCATGACTTCTGCAGAATGGTGGATTTTTGGTAGAGTTAGGCTGCATTGTCACAAGTGCTCCCAGGCTGTCTACTGAAGACATGAAAGGCCTGGTTGCGCAAAATGCTGCAGATCACAGTGCTGCATCCAAAAAGGCAGAGAGAACTGAAGCTGTATTTCTGAGCATTAAACCCCCTTCAGTGCACCATGGTGGCCATTGAAAATGGAGACCTCCACAAGGAGTAACCGTTTTCCTTGTGACCAGTACAAAAATGCTTAGCTTGATGGAAGTTCTCTAAAAGCCTTTAATTCTAGCCAAATTAGCAGATTATTTAATTTGCTTATATGTTATCAATAAAATATTGCCAGGATGGTGTTAGGCAAGGAGGGTGGTGGTGGGATGATTGCTGCCTTGACTATCTCAAAGTCCAGGCTCCTGTTTGGCTGCATGGTGACTGTTTTCTGGTTTTGGCTCTGTCACTTCAGGGGCAAAGAGGCCCACCAGGCTTGCCAGGACCCTTTGGACATAAGGTGAGCATGGGCTTTATTGTTCATTGTGGACTAATTCTCTCCATCACTGGAACTGGAGAAAAAGTTATGGTGAAAACATGGTCTGTTTTTCACTGGAATATAGAGTTTGTGAAACTTTCACTCAAAAATGGACTTCTATCCCTTTAGGAGGTTCTTTATTATTCCAGTATGTCTGTAGATGTAAATATTAAGATATGAATTAGCTGTGCTCACTTCCCACATTTAAAATTTCTTCCAGAATTATGTGAATTCAACATGGACTAAGGACTAAATGCTGCACACTTTTTCAGGGAAACTGTGACCGGGGACCTTTAATCCGTACAGCAAAGAGACGTTTCATAGCTGAAGGATGACCTACTCTTGAGACCGCCTGTCAGCCCCTCAAAGAGCGCTCCTCCATAGCACTCATTTCCTTCACCTCTCTGAAGGAGGATGTCGATTATTTTCCAATGGGACCAGGTAGTCCTGGTTTGCCCTCCTATATTGTAGCTAAGGCAAAGAGTAGCTGGTTGATTTAAGTTAATGACACTAATTTCAGCTGAAAATAATGTTTATCCCCTTATAAGTACACAGCAAATAGAGAAAGGAATGAAACGGCAAAAACCTTTGCTTCTGGGAGCATCTGAATTGTGCTTGAATCTTCAATCAGATATGTCATAAATTCTCCTCTTTGAAATGACCATGTCCTGATCTGGATTGGAATAAGAATAGGAAGTTGAAACAGATTCTGTAAATTATATAAGTAGGAATATAGCAGTGTGAGACTAGATCCATCTAGGTCCTGTATTTTTGAAATAAGCAAACTGCTATGAAATGTTTTCTTTTCGTTTTGCTGCATTCTGTATAAATGCATTGCAGTCTGTTGTATATATCTTTGACAGTTCAGAACACACACACAATAGTAGACTGAGAATTAATATAGAAGTCAGAAAAAAACACTAAAAGAAATCTCATAAAATATTCTATTCAATATCAACACAAGGTGCTAAGAATCTTAATTGTGCATGGGAAAATACTATTGAACTTTTTGTATTGGAATTATGTTCTTGAATAAAATAACAGATAAGGGGTCTGCCAGAATGTTTGAACTAATGAGAATAGTTTTTTCTCACCGTCCTTGCAGTATTTTTTCTTTGTAATATAAGATTAGTTTAAGACGTAAGAAAGAATGGCAAAATAATTAGGAAATATTGCAGATGGAATTTTGGGCAGGCAGAATCCACGGATAACAATTTCTCTATCATGCTTCTACATAGCTGGAAATAGTGTAATAATAAATAACATACATAAGATTCATTGTTATAAGTCTACTGCCAATGTGAGACCAAATCTCACAACTGCAATACAATCCATAAAAATCTTATTTGATTTCTCCCTATAACAAGAGAACAGCTGAATTTTTTGTTAACCCTCTGTCTACAATGCCCATTAAACAGTGTCAAGTAGTTGTCTGTGCTCTGCAGTTTTTACTATTGAAAATCCTGTTTTCTAGAAGGGACGTCTCTCCTTTTGTAGTATAGTCCTCTAGACAGAGTGGTAGAACCACTGAATTATTTTTTTCCAAAAAATTATTCATGCACTTCTGTGAGTAGGCCTATGTTGGTAAAGGAAAGGAGAATATTAAGATGTAACCAAACATCCCTAATTCTGTCTTCCCTGGATAAATAATCTGTATTTAGCAATGTTTGCAAGTTAGCCATCTACCATAGACGCACAGAGAAAGAAAAGCTCATTACAGTGCTTAATGTTTCCCCAAGCCAAGGAGGGTGCCTAATACCCTGCAGGCAATTGCAAATGCTGGAAATTGGATGCTGTGCACTAAGATAAATTAAAGTACTTGTAGAGGCTGTGTTCCCACTCAGTTATGTGATGTGGCACACATTGACATTGTGTGAGTGCTCACAGAGGTGGGCTGGGGCTCGTGTGAAGGAAGGGGGCAGTTTTCTTGGCATGATGTGACATGCTGCCACAACCTGATACCGTTCCTCCATGGGCCCGATCAGGTCAGGATGTATCAGTGTTATGTCATGTTGTAAAACCTGACTGCATTTCAGCACATTTTCTCAACAGTGCACTAAGCCTTTAACTTCTTCCTTTGTTTCAGGGTGAGAGGGGAGCTCCTGGCCTCCCTGGACAGCCAGGAGACAGAGGTGTGCCAGGAATCGGTCTGGCTGGACCCCCTGTAAGTAGCAGATGCTGCTGCAACCTGTGACAAGGCAAAAACTTACCCATTGCCACCTAGGAAGCGGGTTCCCTGGGCTCAGCTGTGCCAAGAGCCTGTGGGACGTTCTACCCTCTGAAGATGCAAACTACAAACTAGTCCTGAGGCTGCCATTCGTGGCTCAGTTGTCTACACGTCTGTTGTGAGGGCTCTTGATACATTCCATTTTAGTTGAAAAAGAAAGGCAGAGAAGTGCTAGAGGAGTGATTGATACCCACGGCTGTTATTCCTGACTTTTCTGCATCATCCTGACACATTGGCTGTGGATGTGAGTTGAGATCTGTGCTGAGCCAGCAGGTCTGGTCTACTGGGCAGACATAACCTTGCCGTCACCCTATTAGAAGGGATGAGCATCTGTCACTGACGCCCACATCTGACATATTCAGAACTCTGATAGGGAAATACAAAATTGGATTGCTTAAATTGCTGCCTTCCAAGGGAGCCCTGGTCCCCGTAATTTCCCACAAATATTTAGTTGGACCTCATCCAGCTCTGCCCTCACCTCCTGCTTATCAGTAGGCCACAAGGTGTACCTGGGAGTCTGCTCTGGAATGTTTGGATTTTCGTATCGCTGGGGTTCGATCATTCCAGTACTTGTCATGTACAACTCCTCTTGAGATGAGGGGGATTTGGGAGTCCTCTGACTGTAGCCCTGCTCAGACTCCTCCAGATCTGCACTGAATTTGCAAGTGAAATACGTTTAGGAGGAAGCAAACTTTATTCCTAGCTGTAATTGCTAGAGGAATTTATTCCTAGCTGTAATTGCTGAGACCTTGTATTGGTATATGTACCTTGTATATGGTTTAGTGGGTATGGTGGTGTTGGGTTGACGGTTGGACTTGATGATCCTAGAGGTCTTTTCCAACCTTAATGATTCTATGATTCTTTTGCAACCCCTTGTACACGCTATGATACTGTACCAATCACAGTCAATGGTTTCATGCTCTGGTTATCTAGATATAAGTTTCCCAATTAGTACAGGAAATTACCTTGAAATGCTAAGTCATATTGCTGTGTAATACTGGTCGACAAATCTAGCTTTCTGAGGTGTATCTCCACTTAATATTTGCTTTTACCATACTGAATACTCTATAAGGTAAAGCAGACTGGGTCAGTCATGTTTCACACTGTGACTGTGTCATGACCTTCATGGTCCTCGCAGGGTACCAATGCTTGAAGATTCGCTGGGTGTTACTTGTTATGATTTATCTAAGGAACAGTGACGTTCTAGCATTTCTTAATGTTCAGTAATTTAAATTAAAATTAAAATGAAATTAGCAAATGAGTATCTGGCTTGTTTGAAAGTCACTAGGCTGTGGCTAGTTTTTAATTATTGATTTTTAGATTCAGTACAGGGCTAGATGAGTTCACTTCTGCATCCTGATGTACACCAGACGACAAAGTTACTCTTCACTGGGGCTTTAGCATCCGCCTATCCACAAACACAAATGACGAAGAACCTGACTCCAAATGTAGACATTGCTTGTCTCACACCAGAAGATTACTTTTTTCTGTGTCATCATTGTTTGACCACTGTCAGGATGAGTAGCCACCTACATACCACACTATTCCCGATTGATTTGTTTTTATTTATTTAATCTGCCTCACTAAATACTTTTTTTTTAACAACTATTACAATGGTTTTCTCCACTGTAGATTGATCATAACCTCAGCTCCAATGCAAAGACTCTGGAATTTGAAAAACACTCTGTAACCTTGAATCCATCAGGCTTTCACAAAGACTGAGTCCCACAGAAAAAAATAGAATAAAGTCAGTGGAGCTGCTTCAGTGCATATTACACACTGAATTAAAGGTGTCAGCCTATACCCTTTTTAGTGACGTGACAAAATTGTGTGTATAATACTTTCAGCTTCAGAGCTGAGAGCCAGCAACTCTTTTTAATTGGAGTCCTCACCCTGTTTCCTCCTGTACCCTTAACCTCTCTCGGGCTTTGCTCCCTGCATAAAAGGTATATATAGATGAGGATTTTTTTACTTTGTCTGCTAAGGTATTGAGTTGCTTTTTACGTAACACTGAGCCATAAACTGAGTATTAGCAGAGTGGGTTCTTCCCAACTGAACCATAAGCAGAAGAGGGGACTGCTTGGAGAAATGGGGTGAATTCACATGCTTGTGCTGAAGTTGCCTAATGGACGCTTGTGCTGCATAAGTAGAAGGGTTTTGCTCTTGCTCTGCCTTGCCCTGTTCATATTACTATGGGCTCAGAATTATATATTTAGCATTTGCTTGCGTAGAGCATTAAGGCGTCTTGCGTGGAGGACTGTATGAGGATTAGTGAACTAACGTGCCTGAAATAGAAACCAAAGGGAGAAGAGTCATAGTGTGAGCCAATTTATTCAAACACGGCCCCAGAGATGTGCGGTCAAGCCTTGTTTTGGGTGTGTTTGGAATGCCAGATTGACTCATCCATGCTGGTTATGGGTACTGCATCACTTCTGTGGTGTTCCTATAGAAGTGGATACCTTCTAGTGGCTCACTCTACTCAGTTGCACCTTTTTAAGTTGCATCCCCAAACAAATAGCATATGCAGGCCCACTGAACTCCCTGCTTTGACCTCATTTAAAGAGCACACAGGTCCCGTGGGATACTTTTCCATGTGTTAGAGGTAGCTGAATACAGTGGTCTGCAGGACCTGGGGAAATTGTCCTGTCCCAGCCCAACAGATGCAAGGGTGCTGTGGTTCTGTGTCCCCAGGTCCAGCCAGTAGTGAGGCTGAGCACGTATTGCCAATGGGCATATGCAAATGCAATGCACACACATACACACATGTGCGTGCAGCCACACAGACCAATGGAGAGAATAATGCCTTTATCAACACTCATATAAACCTAAACAGCACTCTCAGAAATATGAGCAAGAATGTCTCGATCCCACTCCTCCTCTCTGGCTGATGAGGTTTGAAGGCCACTGTTGGAATATGTACATGAAATGTGGATCTTTCCGGCAGCTGGTCTTGGACACCTACCCTGCCCAGTACCCAGGCCTCTGCACCCCAGTATCCTCCAGTTGCTGGCATCCTGACCTGCAAGCCCCCTGGGTTCACAGCCTCGCAACCCAGTTGCTGACACCCAGACCTCTCCTACTCACCAGCTCATCTGGCTTGAAGCTCACTAAGATTCAACTACATGAGCTCAGATTCATGAGCTCACCCATGCTAAAGAGTGTTACAAATAGGATTTAATGAGAATATAGTAAACGGGGATCCATCAGGCTGACGGCCAGTCACCAGTGGGGTTCCCCAGGGCTCAATTTTAGGGCTAGTGCTCTTCAATGTTTTTATAAATGATCTGGATGCAGGAATCGAGTGTACATTAACTAAGTTTGCCAATGATACTAAACTAGGAGGAGCTGTGGACTCCTTCGAGGGTAGAGAGCCCTTACAGAGAGATCTGGATAGACTAGAGAGCTGGGCAATCACCAACCGTAAGAAACATAACAAGAGCAAGTGCCGGATTCTCCACCTGGGGCGGGGTAATCCTGGTTATGCATTCAAATGGGGGGATGAGAGGCTGGAGAGCAGCCCCACGGAAAGAGATCTGGGGGTTTGGGTTTGGTTTGGTGTCAAGTTGAGTATGAGTCAACAGCGTGCCTTGGCAGCCAAAAGGGCCAACCGTGTCCTGGGGCGCATCAAGCACAGCATAGCTAGCTGGTCAAGGGAGGTGATTGTCCCACACTACACATCACTGGTGCGGCCCCACCTCGAGCACTGTGTGCAGTTTTGGGTGCCTCAATATAAGAAGGACATTAAACTATTAGAGAGTGACCAGAGGAGGGCGACTAAGATGGTGAAAGGTCTCAATGGCAAGACTTAGGAGGAGCAGCTGAGGTCACTTGGTTTGTTCAGCTTGGAGAAGAGAAGGCTGAGGGGTGACCTCATCGCAGTCTACAACTTCCTCAAGGGGGGCAGCGGAGGGGAAGGTGCTGATCTCTCTCTGGTGACCAGGGATAGGACACGAGGAAATGGAATGAAGCTGCATCAGGGAAGGTTCAGATTGGACATTAGGAAAAGGTTCTTCCCAGAGACCGTTGGTTGGTCACTGGAACGGGCTCCCTAGGGAAGTGGTCATGGCACCAAGCCTGTCAGAATTCTGGGAACATCTGGACGATGCTCTTAGTCATATAGTTCAGTTTAGGTAGTCCTGTGAGGAGCAGGGAGTTGAACTCGATGATCCTTAAGGGTCCCTTCCAATCTGAGATATTCTATGATTCTATGACTGTGGTGATGAAGTACAAGGCTCAGTCAGACAAGCATCATGTTAGCATACAGCTGACCCCTCTGATCCCTTTTTCTCTCTTTTTTTCTCACACTTTTTCCTCCATGTTCCACCTCAATTTCTTCCTTACTCTGCCTTTGATCCTTCCCCTAAACATCCTGCTGTGAGTATTGCACACTCCAACAATGTCTGTGTGAGCAGCTGTCAGATTTGCTCCTTTTCCTCACCCTTCCTTCTCCAATTTTTGTTATCTTGGTGCTTCAGGACCCACCCTGATCAGCCAAGGGGGGGTGTTAATTTTAAGTGTTTTGATTGCTGTGTCTTTTCTGTTTGCAGGGCCCTCTGGGACCCCCAGGAGACAAAGGGTCATTGGTATAGTATGTCTTTCTAACTACACCCAGATTTTAGGGGGGGGGACAACCACATTAATTGTGTTTCAACCAGTGATTTCATGAAGGCATGTTTAATTAGTTTCTTTTTGCCCAAGGATGGTAGGGTCACAGGGTGGCTGACCCTCCAAAGGGGACTTCTCTTGTGCGTTACCAGCTACTTGTCTGCTATACTGAGTTGTGAGAAAGACTTGATCCAGACTCTTGGCATGGTGACAACTTTTCCTTACCTGTCAATAGTCCTACAAAAGAAAGAATGAGTCACTTGTTTAACCCTTCATTCAAAAAAAGTATTTCAAGGCATGTAATACAAAGCACACTGCTATGCCTTATAGCAAGGCCTCAAAGGTTTAAAATAAACCATTCTTAAGCATTTTTCTTACTTAAGTCTTACAGAAACCCCTGCATTTCAGTATTCAGCAAACACACTTAGTTCCTCAGCATGCAGTTTTACAAGGATGCAATCCATTGATGTGAAACAAATAACTGTGTACCATGGTCGCAGTACTCACTGGCATGAATTTCCAGCATGACAAGTCCTAGCCAGTGTACTAGCTTGGCACTGAGGAACTGGACCTTCTTTTCTCCTCTACAGTCCTGTGCTCAGTCATATTTTCTCCCTGTTCAAAAACTTGCCTCCTATAGTCATTATTACCTTTCCAATCAAGGAATGTGAGGCTTGACTTTAGTGATGCACATAAAGTCTCTTGAGGCAAAGAAATGATTGATACTGTGATAGTGCAATGTGAGATTTAATTTTTTTTTCCTTAAACTCTCTCATAGTTGTTTAAATGCTAGGGTTTTTTTTTCCTGATAACTATTGGGTTGAGGATTTCTTCTCTTCAGCTAAGAAGCACCTCATAAGTACTGTTCATGTTACTGGGTTTGTCTGTTCTCTCCCTGCCAGGGTCCCCGCGGTGTACCTGGTATCCCTGGACCACAGGGGCCTCCTGGCCAGGATGTAAGTAAAATAAAAGTGTAAGTGCTCAAGAAATTTGCCAATGCTCCAATCTGATTTCCCTAAAAATTGTGCTGATACTCAACTGCAGTCACTGAGTGTTACTAGAATGGTCCAATGACCATCCACCAAGTGGATCTCTTACAAGTTACAATGTCGGGGCGGGAAACAGGCTAAGGAGGGTTGTCTCAAGGAAAGCGGTGGACTTTACCACTGAACCATTTTAAAGTGACACTCGAGAAGGGACTTGGCAGCATACACTGGGGAACGATCCCACACTGGAAAAGGATGACTGTTAAGCTGTCTAGGAACTTCTTAGAAGCTACTAAGTAACCTGTAATATTTCTATGAAAACATGGCCATAGCTGTTAAAAAGCTCTTTGTGAGTTCATTTTGCTGCTGCTACTGTGCATGAGAGATGACATTTTAACCTCTTGGTGCGTTGTCCTCACTCCTGCCATCTCAGTGGGTGAGTCATGAAGCTGAGGGAGAGAGAAACATGGCAGACTCCCAGCTGGAAAGCTGACCCCTCTCGCTGCCCAGTTTTGTTGCAGTGTTGAATCAGAAAGAGGAGCAGCTTTTTTTCTCTGCTGGTCAGCCAGCTCTGTGATGTGGAAACCAGTCCTGGAGGAAAACCAGCAAGGGGGCTCTGAAGATTTTGAAAGGCTTGATCTTTGCATTTGGGCCTGTTGATGGAACGCTGTGGGGAGGGGGCAGTGGCCTTCTGTAACTCCCCTTCTCAGTGCTGCTTTATGATGCTGTCATGTCTGAAATGGGTACCAGTTTTCATGAAGTCCATGGCAAGCGATTTTCAACCCTAGTGTGGCTTCATTGACATACATCAGCTGGCCTAAAGGGTGTACTTTCCTATGGGATGGATCTCCTTTCCTCCTGCAGTGTTTGGAAAACAAGGTCTAGTTTTCTTCCACCTCCTTTGTCACAAGACAAATGATTATGGCCAGTGTATGCCTCCGCAGCCCATGATAGTAGAAATGGTCCTTTGTCTCCATCACCCTGTGCCCCTGAGCACAGATTCAGGATTGATTGTGTCCTGCTGGCTGCCCCTACATCTCTTCACCTTGTCTCAGATGTCTGAGATTTTTAATCAAGAGGTTTTAAACAGGAGATACAATAGATGGGTTTATTACAACTGTATTGTGTGAAGAGAGTGCCAGAGCCAGCTTTTCTGAGTCTCTTTCTAGCTTTACTCAGATCAGCGTTGACTGGTTAGCTCTTGGAGAGGCAGTATTACAGTCTTTATCTCTTTCCTTTTCCTCGCAGATTTCCCAAACAGAACCATTCCTTATGGTACTTATAAAACACATCCTCTCTTACACTAACTGTTTTAATTGCACTCAGTATGTCTTTTAGGAGCTCTCTGTATTCTGGTTGATCACCTCTTAAGCAATTCTACCTGTGTTTCAGGAAGGTAAATGTAACTACAAGGCACATTCCAGTATTTCTTGGTATAACAGCAAGGATACCTATTTTGACAAGATCATGCATTTGCTGTTTCTTGATCTCCACTTTAATTTATGACTAGTACAATGGATTTTTTGTTCTGCTTTTGAAATCTTGTGTATCAATGTAGTATTCCTGTATTCTTTGAAGCATGCCCATTTTTGTACTCTGTTGTGTTTAAACAGTATGTCATCAGTTAGGAAAGCTCCGATTTGAATTGCTAATATGAATTTGCCATGCAACTCCCAAGCCATTCGGTGGCAATAGGCTTAATGACTTGCCTCAGTGTCTTGGTTTTTGCTGTGGCCTTTGCAAATGTATTCCATGTTTTTTTCTGAGACTGAATAATTCTTTTATATCACATTTACATACATTAGGTTATTCTCTGCATTATTTTTTCCAGTTGCAGACTCACCAGATGCTCTTGGAAGTGTCTGCTATAAGTTGTTGTATTCCCTGATACTGCAAATCAGATTTACAGTTGTATTTGGGGAGGTGGAAGAGTCAATACTTCTTTTGCAATAGCTTTGGCCAGAATTATCTCCCATAGGTGAATAGATCAGTTTTTTTATACATGACTACATTCCAGCTTCTTTGTAGTGCCCTAAAAGCATGTGCCATATTTTTTGCAATAGCACTGCCTAGGGTCACCTTTTGAAACATCTGTTGGCAACTCAATGAAATATCAAGAGTTCTCAGGACAGTGTCTTGTTTTATTAAAATTTAGGTTTTGAAAATCCTTGTCTAGGTTTACAATACAGTTGTGCTGGTTTGGCTTTGTTCTGTTCCTCTTAGCAAAACACTTGGTGTTTATTTGTCCTCTAGAGTTCACTATGTCCATAAATCCCTACAGATTGTCTTCTTCTGGGACAAAGCTGGGACATATTGTCTTGTCACATATACAGGTTTTTTTGTCTTTAAATTTGCATTTTTTTTCTGATTAACTAAAGCTCCAATTCTTAAAGCCTGAAAAGTGCTTTCTCTAGGATTTTTTGTGGTTTTTGTTTTTCCCTACTGTTGATCAGATTTGCTCCATAACAGGATTACTACTTATTATGCCTACTTTCATGCCCTCAATTACTTCAAATATTACTTGCACTTGCTTTTGGAAAAAAAAAAATCCAAATCACATTTTAAGCTGGCAGTGTTCCTGTACTGAATATTAAAAAACCATAGCCTTAAGTACCTTCTTTCAGAGAAATCGGCCAATCTCAGATTCTGAGAGTTACAAAAAATATTTCTACATGTTAAGTGATGTTACGTGCATGTCCGCCTCCTCCAGCTGCGCCAGACCAGGTCCCTCCTGCCTGGCCTCTGTTGCCCAGGACCCGGGGTCTCTGTCCAGGTGAAGGGATGCGGCTGCTGCTTTCCCATTTGCAGGTTCAACCAGTAACGAAGCTGTGCATGAATCCCAGAAATACAGACATGGACACACAGACACAGAGGACACTGACATGGCTGATCACGCAGATTGCCACAGACAAGGCGCTGGCTTCAACAGCACCTACATACAGGACTCACATACAGCATAAGCACAGACAGCCAGGTCCCCTCCTTCTCTTCAGCTGGCAGAGACAGAAGGTCCCTAGTGATGGCACACACATATACCACTCTTTAGGTTCCCAAGCACACACATATTTGCAGATCCTTTGAGCACTGGCACAACCCCTCTGTCCTGGCACCCCTGCCCAGATCCCAGACCCCCTTACCTGCCCCACAGGTCCCCTACCTGCCTGCTGGTCCAGCCTGATGCTCTCTGCAAACATGCAACACTCATACACTTGTCCCTCACGCACTCCACACTCGCGGTTCCCCATGGGCATACCAGCATGGACCCCCTGCCCACCTGATACCGCAGCCTGGACCCAAGTCCCCCTACTTGCCAGCAGGTCCAGCTTGAAGTTTGCTGATGAATGCACACACACCTACACACACACACCAGGACTCGGGTAGATACAGACACTTGCCCCATCCCAGCTGGCACCAGGCACATGGGCTGTGACCTGTGGTCCCACGCCAGCCACCGGCGTGGAGCCTCTCACTCACCTTGCTCATGCTGGTCCCCCCAGTAGGTGGTTTTGGGAAGACACACCATTCTCGCCCCAGTGGCTGGAGGTTAAAGACCCCTGCACTCACTCCAGTAGCTGACAACAGAGGCTGGGGGAGCCTACACCCCCAGTCTGACTCCAGTAGCTGGCACCAGTTTTGACTCACACACATAGAGGTCCCACCAGTAGCTGGCACTTAGTCCTTGCAGCACACATGCACATTATGCAGAGAGATAGTTAAGAAAAGGTTTAATAAGAAGATATAAGATGATAGGACAAACCATGGTGATCAGGTGCAGGGCTCAGCCAGACAAGTGCACTGACCAGCCCCGTTTTACGCATGACCGGTCCCTTTTATACCCTTTTCTGTCTACCCCTCTGTTTGTTCCTCTCTGCTGCCCCTTCCCCACACGTCCCCTCATACGTCTCCATAGCTCTATCAATTCCTGCACCCCTCCCAGTTCAGGGTCCCCCTGGTTTACAGTCCTATCACTTGCAAAGTCCAGGTTGATCTTCCTGGAAGTGCAGCCTGTGGTTTCTTGATAGCGCATCAATTAGTGTGAGTGGCAAGATTTGTTTCTTGTTAGGTCTGTGTCTTGATATATTTTGTTTCCAATTTCCTCCTTTTCCCTTAGTTTCCAAATTGACAAGGACCTGGATCAGATAACCTTGCTGGAATAAACCCTCTCACTCTCCCACATGCCCTCATCAATTAGTGTGACTGTCCAGGTTTGGTTCCCATCACTGTCTCCCTTATTTGTCGGTCAGGTTTGTGTCCCTGTATGTTCTTATTTATGGCTTCCTCCTTATTTTTCCTTGTTGCATTGAAAAAGGTCCTTGACCAGATACCCCTAAAGGAGCAGACACTCTCTGGCCAAATATCCTTACACTACACATTTTTTGGGAAGCATCCATTCTCCTCTGTCTGTCTGCTGGGAGATAAAACGTTTATGTTCAACATACCTACTTAGCTCCCTTAGATTAGAAAACAATCTGAATGAGACATTCTCTTGTCCTACTATTAGCAGTGAGGGCACCCATTTAATAGGCTCTTTCTGTATTTTGATTATGACAATTTTAATTAACATAAACAGAATTAATAACTTTTTAATTATGTAAATTATTTATGATAACTAAGTTCCAGTATTACTGGGAAGTTAATCTTCCCCTGCATTTATTTTCATAATTACAAAAACTTTGTGGCTGTATACATTACTGCCATCGGATCTGAAAAGCAGAGTTTTCTGTTATGGGGTTGATTTTCCCATTCAGTTAAAAGGACAGTTCCAAGGAGCCTTTGTGGGTTTTTTAGGGTACATACACCCCAAACCAAAGTACACTTATTAAACCTCCTATTGGCTTTTTATTCCTGGGACTTATAACCAATTTAAGCTATTGCATTTCAAGTTTATTTTTCAGTCTTGTAACAGAACTACCCCACCATAAGCCTGTGTGACTGGTTTCCTTATACAGTTTCTCTTTCTTTTATTTTCACGTACATCACTTACCTGAGCATCATTTTTCAGTGTGTCATCTGCACAGCTTCCATCAGTTCCCGGTTAGAGACCATTCCTGTGTGTCAGATTTTGCAGAGTGATAGAGTACTCTGGATCCTGTGCATCGTACCTCCTCATTGCTGACATCTTTTTCCTGCACTGGTATGCTGTGCCACTCACTAGATGCTCTACTTTGTGCCAGCCACTGTTGGCTGCAAACTCCTGAAAGTGTTCAAGCTTTACGAGCTTTCCAACAGTGGTTGTTATTTGGGTCTGTGCATGTTCCCACATCGCATTAGCAACATTTCTTTTCAGTGCCATGCAGTTTTTTGGGCAGACTCTTTTAAGTTCCTTTTTTCTATTTTCTGGCATTCTCTTTTCCAGTTTCCTCCCCTGTTAGTCAGCTTGTCAGATGCAGTTATATCCTCCGTGCCTTCCTTCTAGCATTTTCATTCTGCTCTGAGCAATGCCTGCAGCTTGTTGTCAGCCTTTTCTAACTCCAGGCCTCTATAGTACAGCAATCTTTCCTCTACTTTGGGCTCTGCTTCCAGTTGCCTGTTCTCTGATAACGCAGCATGCTGAGGTGCCATCATCCTACATCTGGTTGTTCATTTCAGCTCAGACAAGCATTCTTCAAAGAACACTCTCTTTTTGCAGTCTTGTACCTTTCAAATATTCCTGCGGATGCAGTAGTTTTCAGATTTGTCAGCCGTGGCACATAGCTTAATTTCTTATCCTAGCTTCTTTGCACCCTATTAAAGACGTCACCAGCTCCACATCATACAGCGTTCAAGAAAATAGATCCATCCTTTTTTGTCACAAGGCAGCTGGATACAGGAATTTTGGAGAGAATGGTTTGGGGAAATCCCACCCAGTCCAACTTAAAACATCACTGCAAGGATCCTTGCAATGCAGATTTCTGTCACCATCTGGACAGTGGCCAACCGTCCTGTTCAAAAGATTCGGTTTCCCATGTAAGCATTACTTTATGCAAAGATTCAAAAATAATCTTTAGTCTTGTTTTGTTTGTTGTTGTTTTGTTTTGTTTTGTTTTGTTTTGTTTTTTACACAAACTAATAACTTGCTAATGACAGGCAAGAGATGCCTATTGAGTGGGGGGGTGTCCCTTTTCCCTCGCTGGGGAATTTCCCCCGGTGGGAATTTAAGGTGGACCTTAAATTCTGAGGATGTTGGTCATTTCTATGCCTTAATCTCATGGAAACTGATACCAATACATCCCCACAAACAAACGAACAAAAAGGCTCATTGCTATTTCAGGTGCAAGGGACCTGTTTGCAAGGCTGGTGCAAAGCAAGGTCTTGATTTTGCATGTTACAAGTGTCTTCAGGGATTTAAATCTTCATCCTTCACACTATTGCAGTTCATAGTGTTTCCTGTGACCAGAAGACAAGCTAAAGCAATTTCAGTCTTTGTGTGACTCACATGAATTTAACAAGGTCACATAGTAGATAAGTGAGATTTAGGAGGGGTTCAGAGGACACTGAAGTTGCAAATATTTAAAGGAGTTTATTGTTTGTCACATGCAAGGAGCAGCGGTGCTTACGGGCAGAAAGTAAAACGTATGCTAGTCCAGAGCAGTCAGCAGAGTGTGGGAGCAACCAGGGGGCTACTGTATGATAATTTCACAGTTTTTTTCTTTCTCTTGATCTGTAGGGTCTACCTGGAAATCCAGGGGAAAGAGGACCTCCTGGAAAACCAGTATGTAACTTCACTTCTATATTACTACTTCCTTTTAACTCAGTTTCCACCAGTTCACCTCACCTCAGAAGTGCACTTCAGTGCATTTCCACTGCTGCTCTTCCCAGCATAGCAACTGGGAAAACACTAAGAACCACTAAGGGGTTATGATAAAAATATCTGTGATGGCTTTGGAACAGTATGAAAATAAAAGGATATCCTGCATGTAAATAAAATCCAAAATTTTAAAGGTGGTTTCTTCGCACCACTATGCAGTACCCTCAGCAAGATCTCATCTCAGGTGTGATGAAGTGCATTGGTAGTGTAGGGCAGGAAGTATGTTTTTGGCCCAGTGAGTCCTAGGCAGAGCAAGGGAAACCAATGAGAGTCCATAACCATGTTCAGGAAAATTTCTTATACCTTGATGCCTTTTAAAATTGCCTGAGATAATGAATTTCTCATTCCACAGGGTTCCTCACCCCTGCTCTCTCCAGAGGACATAAATCTATTAGTAAAGGTAATCAGCCTTTGATGATGGTGGGAGTTTATCTGTACGTTTGATCCAGACCTGACTAACACTCTGTGATGGGAAAGTGTCTGAGCTACAAGTGCAAAAGGTGCCTTTTGTGCCACTCTGTCAAAGCTTGAACTTGCAGGTCTCCTACTTGCACTGGTATTGGGACGCTAGAGCACATGCTGCAGATCAAAATCAAATGCCTTTTGACCGTCCCCAGCAGTGAAATGACCTACAAAGATCTTTATAACATGGTGTATGTTACAAAAGCTCTGAGACTTTTTCAGGTCTTTCCGAGGTATGGATTCCCAAGGAGAAATAAACCCTGTCAAGCTGTATTACCTAAACAAGAAAATGGAAAGCATTTTAATAAAATGTCTGATTTTTCACGTATACCTTCAACAGTGACTGGAGTAGTTTTGAACTGTGGGTGCAAAGTCAGTTTGCACAGTGCATCTAAAAGGATGCAGGTAATTAACCCCAGATGCACCCATGTTTCAAAAATGATGATCTGTCTGTCTGCTTTTACTCTCCATGTAGAGAATTGTCTGGGAAATAAGTCACTATTTGATAGGTGTTGACTGCAAAATCTTTACAGATTTACATGGGCTGAGTTGGGAGTTTTTTTAAGCAGTCTTGGGACATGGCAAGAAAGAATTTCTTATTGATTAAAAGAAACTAAATAATTACCTTTTTTTATCAACCCCATTAACAAAAGGACCCTTTTAAGATTGCTACCGTGAAATGCCTTCATTGAAGAGCTGTCTTCCTTATGGAGCCAAGTACTTTTCTGGAGATTTCTCTGTATGGTATTGTTTGGGATTTCTGATCAGGACAATAGCAAGAGACTGATTCTTGGGTACAGGATGTCATTTTGATGTTCCTTTGTTTTCTTCCTTTGATTATGTTGTGGTTAAACACACTCATATGCCTTGAATATTCTTTCTGCTTGGTATTTTTTCACTCCAGACTTGGTACAGATCTATATAAAGCAGCACCTTGAAATTCCAGATGAAATTAGGGCTCTGTTGTTCTGGGTGTTTCTCAAGCACTTATATTGTAAGTAGATAAATATGCATGTAGGGACTGAGACTTAGACAGTTTACCCCACAATTTTGCAACGGATCATTGACAGAGTTGGGTGTTGGAGCAGGTCTCCTAACTCTCGGCCTGATGATCTGTCTGTTGTGCTACCCTGTCTTTTATAGGCAGGATTCACTCCCCTGAAGGGAGTCTGTCTTTGAAATGGAAATGTCATACCCATGGTATTTCATTTCCCTGAGGATAGTAGAAATGTAAAGACTACTGAGATGATGCTTCAAAGAGTTTTGGAAGGAGGGAGGTAGTAACTCTCCGTGACAGAATTTGGCCAGGACACTGTGACATTCACTTGGTCTTCACGAACTCTATTGGATGAGTTCTCCTTGGCCATGCTAGCTGCTGAATACAGTTTCCCTTGCAGAACACCCTCTCTGACATTGTGCTGCACCTAGGTTTTCCCTAGCAATTTGCCCTCTGAGTAGTAATCCAGCTTTTTCAGACTGGTATAGACACACTTTTCTAGTAGTCTTGTAGCTTCAAAACAAGGTTGTTCTTGGTAAGTCTTGCTTTGCAGCTCTCTGACCTCCACATTAGGAAGAGCTTTTCCTTGGTTTCTTGATCCTGAATGATCAGTTAGGACCTGTCCAACTAGAACCGATAGTAAACTCCCTATGGGAGCATGTGTGAGCTCAGCTGCTGACCTCCACACTGCCCTCATTTCAGTTCTGTAAGGCAAAGTAACTCAGGTCCTACCCAGTGTGGTCAAACTGCAAAGGCCTACGTATTATACTAGCACCACACTGCTGCATTCGTAATGGGTGTATGTAGGGTCTGCTAAGTGCCTTCAGTCTATTGCTTATTTATTTCTCCATGTTCTCTCCTAGGATGTGTGCAGTGAATGCCCTCCTGGCCCACCAGGACTGCCAGGCATCCCGGGTTTCAAAGGTGATAAAGGTCTCCGAGGACCACCAGGTAGAGATGGCCAGGATGGGAAAATGGTAAGAGAGCTGGGGAAGTGACCATGCCTTGGGTGGGGTGTAACCTTGTTTTCCTTATAATATTTTTAGATGGTTGATTATTTTTTTTTCCCAACAACCTATTGAATCTTTTTTAGATGTCTGTGGAGTCAATGGACTAAACTAGTGTTTACCTCTACCTCTTCTGCATTGCAGGGGAATGCTGGTCCCAGAGGTCCTGCAGGCCCACCTGGGCTGGATGGCCCAAAGGTTGGTTGGTTTTCTTCAGTTGTCTAATGAAAACTTATTTGTGGCTAGCTAGTACACTGGCTGAAGCAGGATCTAGGTGGCATCCATCTCTGTGTAAAGCAGTAGGAGTGGCCTGTTGGGTGGGCGCTGTACTGTCAATTCGCTGGAGTGCCACACGCACACAGGACTGCACAGCTCCCCACATGAACACTGTTTCACTTAAATAGTGTCTTCTACCATTCTTTGTTCAGACACGCACACACAAGTGAAGGGCCTGATTCTTGATGTTGAATTTCACTACATTGGTGTTTTGATGACAGATAAGGACTTGAGAGTAAATTTCAGTCCAAATCAGGTGAGGAAGAAATTAAAGCCTCAGCAGTAGCCACTCTGCCTGTTCCTCTCCACTTTGAATCCTATATGCCTAAATCACTTAAATTAAGGGTGATGCAATGGGCTGCTGGGCTCCATATACACTATCTGCCATAGTGGTTTTATCCACCTACTCTGAATGTTTCCCGAAACACGCTATAGGAAGAACTCCTTGTTTCAGCTATATGCTTCTGCCTAACAGTCTAGGGACAGAGGCCAACATAAAACTTCCAGTGTCTGAAGGATTCCAATAATGTCACATTTCAAGCATTTCCCATGAAGAGGTCTGTCATCAGTCTGCTCACAATGCCAGTGCCTGGTCACAGTCAAAACCTTTACAACTGCCTAATGTGGAATAAATCAAAACAAATCATTGAAGGAGAGATAAGGTGATGTCATGATGGACCACAGTTTCCTCCAGACTTCCCTGCATTACTGACCTACTGTCTAAAACAGCTTCTGCTGTTTTAAAATCTTTGTATTTGCACTTATTAGAGTGTAGGACAAGCTAATAGACATTCATGAATTAATTTTGTATCTTGCAATTAAAAGTGTGGTGGGGAGAGCAATAGAGTCTCAAAAGTAAATATAGGGTTGATCAGAACGGAAGTATGTTTCAGGATAAAATTTGCAAAAGAATTAGTAACCCATAAAGACAATAGCTGGCAGAAAGGCCAAGCAGTCTGAGGGATAACATGTCTGCTGCTTTCTTATATGCTATGAGAAAGCATAGATTTGGGCAGCAAGACTGAATATTTAGGTGAAGTAACAGGGCCAATTTAAAACTGTACATGTGCATAAAATAAAATCAAGTAATTGATAAATAGTCTAACTTGTATTCAGTAAAAAGGCAGATTCACAGAATTTGTATATGTTAAAAGAAAATGTTGTAAGACCCCTAAGAAGGTGCAAACACAAAGACAGTCTTTGTGACTCCTTTCTAAATACATTAGGAGGGTCCTCGCAGTGAAAGGCCCAAAGAGCTCTGCGCTTTTCAAGATGTAGTATATTGTCCTTACCAACACCATCCAAACTAATATTAGGTCCCATTCTGAAATAGAGCAGTAGAACTGCAGGTCTTTGCTCATGAGCAGCTTCACGCCTTCTGGCAATATGAATTAGGCCTCTTTTAATTAATAAACAGCAGCCCTCGCTCCCCCACTTGCCTCCTAGCTCTCATGTAGTAAACCAGAGTATTATTTCCATGGCCAGCAATTCATTAGTGTTCTGTGCATTGTTCATAATTTGTTCCCCATCATCTCGGTATTTTTCACTGTGTGAGACTCATTTTGCCTCACTTTAAGCACTGATAATACAGACATCTACATTTGAGTTAGCTGCCTCTGTTCTGTTCTCACTAGGACAGAAAGAGAGAGAGAAAGAGGGGGTATGAATTTTCTGACTGCACCTTCAAAATGCCATTTTTATTGCTGCTGTCCCTGAAGGGAGAGGAGACTACTAGCTCGTACTGTGGACACCTCTGTTGGGCCAGATGATGCCTTACCAAGACCTGATTTAGTGAAGTTCCTAACAACCTGTCTACTTTCTAAGGATGTAGAAGTCCTCTTTGTCTCCATGAGACTACCATGTAAAAAAAAAGGGCTATGCTGGGTCTGCCCAAAGGCCATTCTTCACATATATTCACTACCAATGCTGGAGCCAGGAAAGTCTAGGGAAGAATTTAAGAGGAGGACAAGTAGGACTCAGTCCTAATTTATGTGTTTTATGGTCAAATGTCCGAGTGCTTTATGAAATAGGTCAAAAAGCTGATACAATACTGAATCTCAGTGACTTTCAATGGCTTTTTTTTTCATTATCAGGGTGCTAAAGGAGACCGTGGTATGACTGGGGATGCAGGAGAAAAAGGTGAACAGGTAAAAACAGAGTGTGGTTTCCAACAGTGCTGTCACTGTGATTGTTCCTTCATCAATAACTCTTATGATGTCGGTAGAGGAATACCCTTCTCAGAGGCAGAGGAGGAAGATGGGAGCTCTTCATCACTGATAAACCTCAAATGGGCTATGCTGAAGAGTGGAACTGTAGCAGTCCTCCACAGGCTTCCATCCCCATCTCCAGTAAAAACCTTCCCTTATGATCTGTTTCCTCACCTCTAGATTGGATGCATTCAACTCTCTACATTACCCAACGTTTAGTTATTTCCCCAGATAATGCCTAGATGAGATCTAGGAGGTCCGGCATCTTTGGGTTGAAAAAGCCAGTATTTGTCCTAGAAGATGAATGTAAGGGTGACCTCTTTTGGGAGGGACTGAGATGCCAGAGGAAAGAGGAGAATGGTCTAAATTAAAGCAAACTTTCATAGTTAGTTTTGCCAAGGGCTGAGTCAATTGTTTAATGTGCAAATCAGCACCTTTTCAATGAGATTTGTAGGATATTTTAAACAGGTTTGGTTTCCTGCCTGATCTCCTGCCTTGTACAATTCCACAGTATCTGTTCTCACCTCCCATTAGTATAGACTAAAGTACACATTAGAAAAAGTACACTCTAAATCTAACTATGTTTATTTCTGAAGTGCATGCTTTGAAACCCAAGGTTTTGCTTTAAATAGCCATGGTTCCTTATTTCCTTATAACCAGCTCTCTGTGTATTGTCTATTTTTGATGTTACCCAACAATGTTCAATATCACCAGTTAACTTTTGTACAACTAGAAATGTGAACAATGCATAAAGAAAGTCTCTCTTTTAATTCTGCAGGGCCACCCTGGAATACCTGGCTTCTCAGGGGCTCCTGGAAACCCTGGTCCACCTGTAAGTTCCTCTGTTGTAAAGATGGTCCTTTGTTTTCCTTACTAATCATAGAATCATTAAGGTTGGAAGAGACCTCCAAGATCATCGAGTCCAAC